GTGGAGGTCCCGTGGTTAGGGGGGAGGTGCCGATCACAATCCTGCGGCGCTGCAAAGAAGCGGGGCTGCGGGGCAAACGGGGTTGTTTTTTTTTTAAAAAAACTAAAGTTTGCGCATGCTCCGTTGGGTGCTTGTGCGCATCCGTGGAGACTTGGGGGAAAAAAACCTTTTTACGAGGGGACATGGGCGGGCGCTGGAACTACCACCGGACACGCCATCAGACGCCCGCCCATGCCCCGCCGTTTCCGGAAACTAATACCTCGGAGGTACTAGTTTTTTATAGCGCATCTTTGGAGTGGAGCCACGGGAGCTCTACGCTTCCCAGATGTGGCGGTGAGATTGCGCCCGGAAAATCCGCCTATCTTCCGTCTCTCTAGCGTGCCTAATGCTCCGTGTGACCGCAGCCTGTGAAATACAATCCAGAGCCTCTTGTGATCCTGGGACACTGGGTCAGTATTATTTTTACTTTAACAACACAGGCTGACAGTAAAAATCTCATATACCAAACAGAAAGCAGACTACAACGGCAGTGAAGTGACGCTATTGCATCTAACCTAAAAGTGTTACGCTACTCAGGTCCTGGATTTGAATTAAGGCCAGATGGAAGTTTCTTTACATTGTCCCATATGGCAAGCAGGGCAAATAGTTCACACACATTCCCTTGCTACACATATCGAGGAACTTTCTTACAAGCCTTTTATTTTCTTGTGGCATACAAGAAACCTCCCCTCCATCAGGAAAGAGTATTTTAAGAGAGGTTTTTATGTGGCAATTCTGTGCACGCTGGCCCAAGAAATGTGTACTGTACATGCTCCAATGCATTTTATAGAAACCAAGGTACTCAGAGGCCATGTCCATCGTACCACATTACACCTAGAAATGAGTATGTTTCAGCTGTATTCACTTATGACAGTCTGCATTCGCAATTTTTGAAAGGTCTACATGCAAGGTTAATATCCTAGTTTATGCAGGTCATTGCTTTTATGCAGAAAGATAATAAAACATGGAAGACACACACTATGCACTAAGTGCACAACTGAAGGGGCAGCAGATGTGATGATCACACATTACCACCCATCTATAAAATGCAAATGGCAGGCATGTCCAGCTTCAGTCTCCCATGGAGCTATGCAGGAGAAGGGAATAGGAGTCTAAAACTTGAACTTCCACTCTTGCTTTGTTATTTGAAACTGCCCCCCTCCCTTTCGAAGTTTATAGGGAAAGGACTTTTTAACAGGACATCTTTTTTTCCTTTCAAATGCTAACATCACAGCATGGCGGGGCAGATTTCAAACAGGAGAACTGCACTGAGGTTGAAAGTGAAATTACCTCTCCCTTCCCTGCACAACCCAGAGGCTAACTGCGGCTGCACAAGACTGCAATGTGGATTTCATAGGTAGATGGAGATGCATGTTCTTCCTTGTGCCTGTGTCCACCCTTAAATACCTCCAGACACTGTTCTGGAGGATTATGTAATGAATTCACAAGGTGGTCAGACAGGTGAACTGCCTCTGCCATATATAGATTTGCTCATCTTAGATTCCAAGGTAAAGCTGATACGAGAGCAACGACACTCTGCATACTCACCCCACCCAAGCAAGAAATTTAAAAAACCCAGCTTAAGATTTTGCTGTACTTTTGGGGACCTACTTGTGGAGTAACTCTTTTTTCCCCTCCGTATGGAGTAACTCAATGCTTTTTTCCTTTCTTCAACATGAAAAGCAGGAATCTCACATCAGCTAATACCAAATAAGTTTGTCTTTTATTTTTCATGTCTAGTATTTACAACTTATAGCATCCTTGAAAACCGGGCTGTATTTCACAGCCACCTTGTACATTCTGCAGTGGCCAATCCAGCCTCCTAGACTCTCTTCTCCCAGCAATCCTGCAACCCACCTGCAAGGACTGTGACCTGCAGCTTAAGAATCGGGGCCTTAAGCCATTCTGCAAGCCTTCTGCAAAAGCAGTGAAGTAGAAATGGGCTGAAATGGCTTTAGACTCTCACACTGTTTAGTTTTAGATTCATGCAATCTTCAAATGCAAAGAGGCATAAAAATATTTTAAAATAAATACACTCGGGGACTGGGCAGTGCTTTCTTTTTGAGCAGGCAATCAGGAAGATTTCTACCTGACTCATAACATGTACTTGACACTTACCCTAACAGTGGTCAGTTTCCACTATTCCTATCAAAAGCTAAACAAAATTTAAATTTAAAATTCTCCCAACAGGGACAGAATTGAGTAGACAGAAGGAATGTCATTATGTAGCTCCTCTTGGTGCATGGTGCTGTATTGGCACTTCAGGGCTATCCATGGAGGGCTGTGATACTGCCTTACTCCTGCATAGTATGTCCAGGCATCCTTGTCATTTAAACTCAGCATCGAGCCTGCAGAGGTGATGCAGCAAAGAATGTTTAAAGACCTTCCGTTAGATGAAGCAAAATCCAGCTGTGTATCTCTCGGGCATCTATTAAGCAGGCTGATGTTCAAGAGAGAACCATTTCTCCCAAGACGCTCATCTTTCATGCCAACAAGATGACGTTACTTAGTTTGTGTAAAGAACGTATGGATCTGTTGTGCTACTGCGCGTCCAACTACCTGCTCAAGCTCCTGAAGGGTTGCGTTACAAATCTGGTGGATGTTTCCAAATTGTTCCAGGAGCAGCAAAGCTTTCGTTTTCCCAACTCCTGGAATCTGCTGAACTGTCTGGAATACAGAAGCCTCCAAGAGCCGAGGTCCTTTCTGATTAAGGAACGGGTTGCTGGCTCGGTCTTTAGCTTGCTCCTGGACCTGAAACGGAAAGCATGTGCAGGCTGAGCACCCTCTAGTGGACTTAGTGACAATCAGTTCCTACACAGGACTAAGCTTCAGCAGACAGCTAGATGAGGTGCTGGGAGACCTGTGATTCACATTCCTTGGGCTCTTTTTTTTAGATTTATTAAAACAGCTGTGTGCGGGAGGGGTTAATTCAGGGAAGCAACACACACTGTGTGTGTGAAATCTTTATCCTTCCCTTGAACTGCCATTTACTACAGACAGAGGCAAAGAGTTTCCAGTATGGGAGGGGTGGAATTTAGATTGGGAAGTTACATGTAACAGACAGGTTAAAACCCTTCCTCTACGGTGGCTAGTTTGAACCTCTTTATCTAGTGTGGCAGGTAACCTGATTCTTTTTGTTTGTTTCAAACCAAGTCCCCATGCTGAACTGGGACCCACTTCTAAGCTTGCTCTACTTTTAGGATCCATGCAGTCAGATCCATGCAGTTGGTCACAAACTAACTGTGACCAAGAAGGTCATCTCTTATTTGTCCCCCTGGGGCTCAGGGGGATGCTTCATTGAGTTAGCATTGGTAACAGCGGAGGACAGGCCCCTTTGTCTAATCCTCTTCTGAAGCCTACGCCAGTGGACTGTGAACGCCTTAAATTAATAAGGCCTTTTTGTTTTCTCCCTATTTTCTGTTTCTGCTACTGTGCTTTAGTTGCTGGCTGTAACTATTCCACCTGAGGCTGCAGGGCCTCCAAGAATCTGATGGGCAGGGCTTCATTGACTGCATAACAGCCCAGTTATACCTGCTGAAACCGCACAGAGGAAAAAGTCTGAATATGATTTCACACACTAATCATTGGCTGTGTTGAGGGGTGTACAGTAAGTAGGGCATAAGCTGACATTTGAACAAACAAACCAGTCATTGCAAGTGAAGTGGGCCGGGGAGACCACTAAAGCACAGACAAAACTTCACTCCAAAAAAACAAGATCACCAGCATCTTAAAAATATACACGTTCTTGAGCCAAACTCCAACAAAAATGGAAAAATTAAGGCATTCATAAGCTTGCCAAGTTGCCATTTCCTTTCTGGTTTGCTACCCATGTTCTTCATAATATGCATATTCTTATTCAGGTCATGTGCCCCTTTAAAGAACAGCACAAATCATGATCAGTATTCACCGGTATTCACAGTTCTCAAGAAGTACTTACTAGCTGGATAATAAGCTGTGCTGCTTCTCCCTGGTTGGCCACTGGAAGTAACGTCATTCCAAGTTCCAAAGCAACAAATTTCTGCACTGCCGGGAAATACTGATCACTTAGCTGAGTTTTCTCAACTATGACAATTCCTTGAAGACTGCTGGCCTTAAACAGTGAGGAAGAGAAGAGGAACAAAAAAAGGTTAATAGTGTTTCTTAAGGTTATGCTGAAACTTGTAAGGCAATGCCCTGATTCACAGACACTGAGATGAAAGAAAGAGTTGCCTAAAATAGCAGAGTGTCTCGGATGTGGCCTGAAATATACGAGAGTATTTGCTGGACTAGACCAAAAAGATCACAGAGGATGTTCTAACACACATAAATAGAACAAACCTGGCCTCTCAAGAAAGCATGCCAAGAAGGGAGTCTAAAGACTGAAAATAGAATAGCCTTTAAGAACAGTAAGAATATAAAGTGGTAATAATTATATAAACTTGTGATTATTAGGCACTGTCTAAACCCATTATCAATAACAACAATTTGTTGACGCGCAGGCACAGAAGCATCTGAGAATGGCAAGAATGTCCAACTTCACAGAAGTGAAATAGATTCAAGAATGGGAGTACTGGTTGAGGGCCAAAAGATATTCATATATATGAGAAAACAGACTTTGCTAAGATAAAAAGTAGCAAGAATGAACTAATATTTTGTATATATTCTAACAAGTTATTTCAAGTATAGATAACCTTATATGGTGTTTGAAGTTATAAGATAACGTATAAGACAAGAATGCGCAACTCTTCCCGCATGGTCACTACTAAGTCATCAATGATAAAAGCTACATGCAAAGTGCAGCTTTCTGATTGGTTGCTACTTGGAGAAATTAGTTCTACCTTGTTACTGATACGAGTTGTTTTATATACAGGGAGCCAGTCTAACAGATGTACTTACATTCCTAAAGCGAACAAGTCGTCGTTTGAAGCCATTTCCAGCTACCAGGTCAGCTTCAGAAATATAAAGAATGCAAGTTCTGTTTGAAAGATGGAAGTCCACAATTCCTAAGCCATCTTCTAAAATTAGCTTAACTTTCCCTTGAAAAAGTACAAGAAAAAGAGTATAACAATGGAAGAACTAATGTAGACTGTCTGACAGAATACTACATTTCTACTGTAACGTTTTCACTAAAATACTTTTCACCATATTTTGTGGACTTAAACACACTGAAAATTACATCCCATAGCCGAGTAAAGCTAATATGTTTGTACAAGATTATAAAAATGCATTAATTATACCAAGTTCCAAGACAGGGCATTACCATACTTTAAATGACCCAAATGCACTATCCATAGCTTGCTTTTATAACTGAACTGGTAGTGCACAGAAAACCAAAAGACAAGACAACCTAATTAAACAGCGAGAACCAAGCAGCTCTCTAACATGACAACAGCATCTTGTTTTACCTATTAGTGTTGAGATACATTTCTGAAAAGTTAAATTCTGCTTTGTTGTGTTTTTCTCCTTAATAGTTTATTTACAATACTTTTTATTTTTATTCTACACTTACTCCAAGAATCTCATCTTGAAGTTTTAAAATTGAATTGTAGAGCACCATTTTAGTCTGTATTTGTTAAGGTTTTAAATGTAATTTATGTTTTATTTCCGGCGTTGCCGCTTGTTTGCCGCCCTGGGCCGTACGGGTAGGGCAGGATATAAATCTCAAAATAAAATAAATAAAATAAATATACAGGGCTCTGTCTGTTTATTACCACAACTATGCTGTCAAGTAGGATAGACTGAGAAAGTTAGGCTGGCCCAGTGTCAAACAGGAAGATTTGGGATCAATGGGAAACTTAGGCCCCGGTCACACGGCAAAGTTGCCGCGGGAGAGGCACGGGAGTCCCGCAGATTTTCCGGGCGCGATCTCACCCCAACATCTGGGAAGCGCAGTGCTCCCGTGGAGAACCCGTGGCTCCCCGCCTACGAGGTACTAGTTTCCTGAAACCGTGGGCCAAGGGTGGGCATCTGATCGCGTTCCCAGTGGACTTACGTGGCATCCGGCGCCCGCCGCTGTTTGTCTCTGCAGGTTGCGCAACAGCGCCCAACAGCGCATGCGCACAAAGAGCAATTGCTAGTGCAATTGTGTGGCGCGGCTTCTGTGCCGCGCTACAGGATACCCGTCTGATCGGCATTTCCCCCAAACCACGGGACCTCGACCGGGACGTGTGCTCGGGCAGCCACGCGTTAGTTTCCTCCGGGGCAATTAGCCACGCCTCCCCCCCACGTGACCGGGGCCTCAGATCTTCTGAGGGCTGGCCCAACATCCTAATGGCTGTACTACACACACCCTTTGGCACATTTACCTTGTATTCCCTGAGCAATCTGCGATCCTTTCCATTTCTCATTGCCGATCACATGCCCCAAAGGTACATTTACGGCCCCTGCTCGGACAGGAGTGGTTTCATTTGCCATTGCTGAGTCTTCAACCCCAGCATTCTACTATGCAAGGGAAAAAAATAACACATGCATTAGTCTTGGAAACACAGGGGCATAAATAAACAAGACAATATGACAGGTAAACAGAAGCACCTCCTCTTAAACATTTCTCCCATCTGCATGGTAGCATATGTAGTCTATGCCACCACCACCCAAGTAGCAGGAAAAATAAGCTGAACTCTCAGATAGAATGCTGGGGAACATGGAAGGACTCTTTTCCCCTCCACCGGTGCACTGATTCTTTGCTTTTTATATTTACCACTGCTTGGTGGGTGTAGCACTCCTTTCCTGCTTCATAAAATGCAGACATTAAACAGGGACGGCTTATTCCAGCAAGGAGACAGAACAAGCATGCACGTGTTAAAAGCATTGCAAAAATACTACTCTTGGAGGCTGGTTCAGATACACCTATCACCATGCCACACAACATCCAACAGAAACAGCATTATTAAAATTAGGCAAATTAGACAAGCTATTAAAAGTATTACTATGTAAACAAGCTATTATGAAAAACACCGTATTAGCTAAGCAACCTATTATTAACAACCTATTATAACAAGCTATAATTTTGTTTACTGAAGCAATGACAACATTACAGATATAAATTATATACAGTCTAATTTAAAAAAACTAATAAAATTTATTTAGCACAGAAATACAGGCTCCCCGTCTTGTAAAAATGTATTCACAACATTCACAGGTAAAGGAAACAGGTGTCAGGGGAAAAATGTGTTTTTCCTTCAAAAGAGGTTGAATGGGACGATATTCCCCATCTATGGAAACCTGCCACTGCGAGTTTTTATACATTAAAAAGGTAAAGGTTTCCCTTGCTCGAAAGCCAGTCGAATCCGACTCTAGGGCTGCGGTGCTCATCTCCGTTTCAAAGCCGAAGAGCCAGCGCTGTCTGAAGACGTTTCCGTGGTCATGTGGCCGGCATGACTAAACACCGAGGCGCACGGAACGCTGTTACCTTCCCACCAAAGTGGTACCTATTTATCTACTTGCAATTTCTTGCTTTCGAACTGCAAGGTGGGCAGGAGCTGGAACTAGAGACGGGAGCTCACTCCATCATGCGGCAACCTGGGTCTCGAACTGCTGAACTATTGACCTTCCACAGCCTACAGTTCAGCGTCTTAACCACTTGAGCCACCGCAGCTCCTTTTTATACATTAAGCCTCTGTTAAAAGGACATTCTTCCCTAAGTCTGCTGGCAACCGAATTCAAGGGTCAGGGAGTCACAAAACAGACACGTGGTTTGGCTATTGTGCAACCACGCACTCCCAGAGAAAGCGCTATCCCTCCAGCTACCCCCACACCGCGGCGCCCTCAACTCTGGAGACCGGTCGCCTCCTCACTCGTTAGTTCGACCCACCAGAACCCGTAACGTTACCCAACAAAACTCTCCGAAGTTTCCCCACACAAAAAGTTTAGCGCGGTGACTGGAACGGACGCCCCCGCCAGCCAATCAGCACGAGGCGGACAGGGGAGGGGCGGGGCTTGTAAATAACGGTTACTGGTTGCTAGGGGGGAGGGTAAGATCAGTAAGCTGAGCGGCGATTGGTCAGAGCTAGGAGCCTTGGCAAATCGCTTTGTCACTTGTTCAGCGGCTCTTGCGAGGGAGGAAGCGTCTCTGTTGCCACGGTAGGGAGTTGTAGGCCCCGGCCCTGTCCCTCCTCACTGAAGTGCTCCCCGAGTCCGGGCTTATTCCCGTTCGCGGTCGCTTCCTGCGTGCCCAGCCTTTCCGATTTCATGGCGTTTCGTTTCGGGAGAGGCCGAAGAGGCCAGTTTGTGAGTATCCTCCCCCCCAGGTTAGAGGGCTGCAAGATTCCCTCGAGGAAAGAAGGAGGGAGTGTATAGCTGGTTGCCGTGGTGACCTGGCTGGCCCGTTCCTGGCTCGGCCCGAAAGCCGCCAGGAGGGGAGAGATGCAACAGGCGGGCAGCCAGCCACTTCTCACCGGGTTTCTTCCAAGAGAGCCAGGCCAGCCCTTTCTCTCCTGTCCAGGGAGGGGGGTGACCGTGCCAGCTTGTGACCAATGTTCCCTCTAAGCTATGGAGTCCTTTGAGCAAAAATTCTCCTTTGTGAACTACTAGCATTAAAGTTGTGAGCAGATGATTTGGCTACTGCATAAGTTAGTTTGCTCTGGAGCCATCCTTCCTGAGCTAAGACAAAAATGAGTGAGCTGGAGGCTAAAAAACTGTGAGCTAGCTCACACTAACTCAGCTTAGAGGGAACACTGCTTGTGACAACAGCTTATTTGTGTGTTTTTTTCTTGGGCGGAGGGGAAGATTTCGGTAAAGCACATACAAAAGGAAACAGGAGCTCAGGGGGGCGCCTTAAAAGCTAACCGAACTTTTTTTTCCAGCGTAGAGTTTGCTGAGGTAGATAGAGTCCCCCTTCCTCAGAGGCAGTTCCAGAGTGTTGCTGTTTGGGTCTGCAGTAGAAGAGCCGTGCTCTAGTCCAGTTAGCACCTAAAGAGACCAACAGGGTATTTTGGGGGTATGAGTTTCCGCGAGCATGGGATGAAGGGAGTTTTGACCCTCAAAAACTCATTCCCCCTCTCCCAGAAAATCTTGCTGGTTTCTTAAGGTGCAGCTGGACTCAAATCTATTCATAATTTAAAATGGATAGCTATCTTGTTCTGCAGAACAAAAGCAAGACTAGAGGCCAGTAACCTCTTAAAGACCAATAAGGTTTCCAGCTTTGAGCCTTGAAAGCTAATACCCTAGCTACTAGACTCAGACCTTATTAGCCATTAAGGCAAAATCATCTGTTGAAGTTCCCTTCATGCCTCTGGTGAAGTGAGCTCTGCCTAGAGATGTAAAATTTCCGGAAATTTTGAAGCTCGGAAAAAAACCCGGTTTCCCCCCGTTTTTTTTTTGGGGGGGGGGTGGTGGAAATTTTCGGAAAAATTGAAAAAAAATGCTACATTAACATTCCTTTTGTCTTTTCTAGATTGAAAGTCATTCTGTTACTTTAGGAACATAAAATATGAGTATGGACATTTTTACTTGGCATGAAATTATCACAACTAGCATATTAAAAATATAGTGTACCCAAAAATGATTACAAATAGAATACCGTCCCACATGCAAAAACAAAACAAACTTTTTTATTTTCTTCTGACAATTGCACCTCCTAAAAAAAGAAATGCATCTTGTTCTTGCATTGGAGAGTTCAGTTTGTAACCTAAGACTTGCTTGTCCTCAGTGCACAGAAAATAGATCAATCTGATACCATATATATATATTTTAGAAATAATTTGGAAAATATTTGAACACTTTGTCTTAAAATATTTTATTCATCATGTTAAAATAAAACGTTCCATAGTCAATTTTTTTTTCTTTTTTCAATTTTTCAGAAAAAAACAAAAAGGCTTCAGGAAAAAAAAGGGGGGAAACCGTTTTTTCCCAAAATTTTTCCAATTTTTTTCCGGGCCTTCACATCTCTAGCTCTGCCTCAGGAAAGGTTATGGGGGAATGAATTCTGTTAGTCTTCATATGCTTTTGGACCTGTGTTATGTTTCGGTGCTCCTGACTAATATGGTTATTGATCTGGAATCAAAGTCAGCTTAATTCTTTAAGGTGCCACAAGACATGTTCTTACCATCACCACCCGTTTGTGTTTGCAGCCGCTCCCAAATGTATAATGAGTAAATGCTGCCCTCCAAACAATTAGATTCAGGCTTTTCTTCCCTCTTGTACGCCTGCATATGCCCCTTGCGTGTGAGGTGCTTCACTTGCCACGTTGGCTACTTGGAGTGCCATTGCTGTGTTTCTAATATGTAAGGAAAATAGTTCAACCACTTTAGTTGAAGGGATGAAAATTAGCTACAGGACTGGAAATGTTTATGCACATGGAGCAAAATTTTGACGCAGTCTTAACACTAACTCATGCTGCTTCTGTCAGCCCAGTGTTGTCTTTGGGTCAGTCACATGCTCTTAGCCTAACCTACCTCAGTGGGTTATGATGAGGATGAAGGAGAAGAGAGTCATGTAAGCCTCTTTGGGTCCTCCACTGGGGGGGAAGGCAGGGTAGAAATGAAGTAAATAAAACTATTTCACTTACTCAGTAAGCAGTGACAAACATTTTTGTTTCAAGACAAAACTGAAGCATTTTGTAAACTCTTTCAAATACGCTCGTACAAAATCTGTAGAAAGTTTGATGTTTGGCTGTCAAGCACATTCATGCTTAAATATTTGGTGGTGGTGGAAGATGCTGTTGAGTCACAGCTGATTTAGGATGACCGGTAGGGTTTTCAAGGCAAGAGAGGTTCAGAGGTGTGGTTTGCTGTTGTTTCTTTTACTTCATTTACATGCTGTCATTCTCCTCAGTGAGGACCCAAAGTGGCTCACTTCACGCACCTCTATTTATCCTCACAATAATCCTGTGAGGTAGGTTTGTTTGAGAAGGTGTGACTGACCCAAGGTTGCAGTTTTACAGTGTGTATTGTGCAACTAAGATCGTTGTCCCTGTATAAATGGCCTAAAAATATTTCATTTAAAATCCCTTTAACAAAGGAATGCTGAATAAAATCACACCTTTTAAAGTCCATTAAAGTCAGTGTCCTTGGAGGGGTGCTTGGGATCAATCACTGCCCCACCTATTGAAATTGGCCCTTGCCATTTAATCCACCCAAGCTGTAAATGATTAGAATTTAAACTGGGTAGCCCTAAGTGGCAGCAAGGCTTTCAGAAGGTTACGTAGTTACTTTGAAGAATATTAAATGTGTCCAATGCCCTGTATCTAAATATTCAGAGTCCTAAGTACCCAGTCATGCTAGCCCAAAGAAGCTTTGGGATTTGTTTTCTTTTTCTCGTAGCAGTTCCTTAAACTGTATGGCAAACTCCTTTCTAAAGTAGATTTTAATATGACTTGTAGTGCTTTGTTTGCTCTTGTTAGGTATTTGTGTGTACTTTTTTGGATCCTATCTGTATGTTCAACATAAAATTCCGGTGAAACTATTTATTACTCTTATATCTTACCTTTGTTCCCTCATTAAATTCAATAGGGTATACATAGGGTTTCTGGACTTGCTTACCTTCAGTAGGATGGCTGCATCATGTAACCTCAAGCTACAGCCTGGTCTGACATTCCAAATAAGTGGGACTTGCATCACAGTGTTCAGTCACCACTCTAAAATGTGGAGCTGTCTGTGATTTGTTCTACATAGCTTAGTGGTTATTCTCAGATATGGAGCATCTACACAGCTGAAATAATCTAGTCCCCCTCATACACAGATACCCATATCCAAAGGCCTATGAAACTAGTGCTATGAGCCCATGGAATCTTTAGGATAATTTTCCTTGACAGTTTTTACTGTTAAAAAAGTACAAAATTCTACTGGGGAAGTGTCTTTGTCTGAGCCCAAGGAGCTCTTTGGGTCTTAACCCTAAACATTTAGTTTTAATGCTTATGAATTATTTTTCTGGTCCTGTGCATCCATTAGCTTCCATAGAGATGCCTTGTTCTTGAACACAAGATTTTTAAAAATAAAAATGGGTGGCTGTCAACTCTAGATAAGTTATAATAATAAATAAATAGCCTCTAAAGCCCTGTTGATGAAATAGGGTTATATTTAGGTTATTTTCTAAAAGTTAATAGTTCCCATAAATGTTAAAGGACACACAGTGAAGTTTTAAAAGGTTTTTAATGGTTTAATCCAAGCACTTTCTACTTTTGGTACTTATGTTTACTACATGAATAACTCTTGTTGCTCAGTGTCACGAATCGTAATGCTGTACCATCAGTTGCAGCAGTAGCAGTACAGCTGATGGATTGCTGGTGTAATGCAGTACCGTGTTTCCCCGAAAATAAGACACTGTCTTATATTTATTTTTTCTCAAGAAGACACACTAGGACTTATACCACAAATGCATAGAAATCCTGCTAGGGCTTATTTTTGGGGTAGGTCTTATTTTCGGGGAAACAGGGTAGTTGGGTGTCACTGTTGATGACAGTGCCATTGTGAGCAGAGTTAAATCCCTCTAACCAAGGGTGTACCTCTTTTTGGTATTGCACTGTAAGGGTCTCTTGAGTTGAACTGTAATAGCATTGTAACTGATATTAGCAATAGTGATGTCATACCAGTTGGTCCTGCTGCATTCATTAATTTGCATGTAAATGTTCTCCCCATTTGTGTTATTTTCTTAGTCCTTGTGCATGCTCAGTTTTGTGTTTTGCATTTGTTCAGTCATTGCCAACTAACTTTATTTTAAATTGTCTAGAAACATATAGCTCATGGCCTGATCCCTGCAGCTACCATAGCTCCTAAACCTGCTGTTCCCCGCACCCCTCCCCCTCGTAGTCCAAACCCTTCTCCAGAAAGGCCAAGGTAGGTTTTAATGTTCTTCATCTCTAAGTTAACCATTCATTCATTGGAATTAAAGTAATCAGTTCATAGAACTGAACATTCAGAATTATAATGTACTCTCTTCCTTTCTTCCTTTCTTCCTTTCTTGAGCTGGTTGACTAGTACTCTGCGCTGATGCAATGCTCTCATAAGTGGTTAAGAATAATTCCTTAGTTATCATACAGTGTAATCCTAAACTGAGTTACACCCTTCTAGGCCCATATACCTCAAATGAAGTAACTCTGTTTAGGATTGTGCAGTTAAAGACAAAAGTAACATTTCTGTTGTTTTGCGTATATACTATGCAGATCAAAAACAAGGGTTGCAAGGTTTGGCTCTGCTAAAATGGGGTCAGCCTGATGTAAGTGCTTTAACCATTCCTATTATATAAAAGAACAGCTACCTAAAATAAAACTAACCAACAGTGTTCACAAGATACTATGTAGGAAGATTAAAATATTGTAATATTTCTGATAAAGATGAATAGTGAAATGTCTGGATTGCTTGTGTAAGGTTAATTTAATTTAGGCTAGGCAACAGACAACTGATTTATTTGATACATTATGATAGCCACTCTTTGGTTTTTAAAGTCATCACTATTATTTCTGTTTTTTCAGTATGTTACTTTCTGATTCATCTCACTGCATTGACCTTTGAAAAACCTGCTCACAGCACAGCAGTGTCTTTTAGGATCAGTTTATATGACCAAGAAAATTGAATAGTAAAGCTTTTACTGGACCAAACCATTTCAAGCTGCATTTGAATATGAGAGGTTGCATTTGAATGATCCTAAATGGGAGGAAAAAAATCCACCTCCCTTTGCAAGGAATACTAGTATGGCAGAGAGAAGCATTCAATGTAGCATTTTTAAAATGTAGCATATAGGTACAGCTGTTAAAGCTTGATTGCCATGACCCAAACATCCGCACATGCAAAATTTGCCCATATTTTCTATGATAGAGAAATATGACTTATGTGCATTCTCATTCTTTATTATGCATGCTGAACGTTTCTTTCTCTTTGTAGTGGATAGACTTGCATGCGTGAAATGTGGTGTGCACATTGGAGTCACTGGACTGAGGCCTGACCCCACAGTTCAGAAGCCCACAATTGCCCAAAACTGAAAGATCAAGCGTTTCCCAGGGCTCTTTCTGCTCCAGAGTAGATAAGACGAAAGCTCCGCTGTGCATGTCGACCATCTATTTAGGATCATGGCATGCAACATTCATTTCAGGGCTTCTTTCATTTCTTACCTGGTTTCAGGATACAGCTTTACATTTGGAAGTCCCAATATGGAAAGGTTCTGTTACAAAAAATAAAAGTACTGAGCCATGGTTTCAGTTTTTGATTTTACTTCTGATGTTTATTTCTTCTAGATCAGCTCTAGCTGCAGCTATTCTTGTGACGACACTAGCAGGGCGAACTGTTGCCCTCCCACAACCTCGCCAGCGATCACTTTCAGAAAGCGATGCCTCCTATTTGCAAAATCAAGAAAGTTATATTGAGCCGTATGCCACAGTTACTGAGCTCCGAATGGGGTAGGATATACTGCGCATTTTGCCATATTCTGTCAATAGTTTAGGGAGCAATTCTAAGCAGATCTACTCAGAATCTTACTGTCCTCTGTTCAGTGGAGCTGACTTCCCAGGAAAGAGGATTACTGTGTCAAGAAACTCTTTCTTCCTCCAGTAATGAAGTCCAAAACATTTTTTGCTTGTTGTGTGGAAGCAGACAGTCCCAACTCCTCACTGGAACGTTATCTTTCCCCATATTTTCCCTTGACTGCTGAAATAATAATAGGTTGGATCCATGCAATGAGGTTGGCTTCACCTTTAATGGAAGGTGTACTCCCGCCTCCAGGAAGGTATCTTTTTTTTAATTCACAAAAGAACATGTTGAGCTCTAACCCATTTTTAAGTGCTGCAAAAATCTATTGCTACATAGTTGCTACCAGCAAGTCCAGATTGTTGTGTTCAGATATTTCTATGTCATAAAGAATCCTATTTTATAGTTCTGGCCTGACCGAAGACTGAATGCAACCTGAGATAAAACCTTAGGATGAGGCTTGCATTTGTGCAACATCACACAATATGATTTTATGCAGATTTTGTGGTACTGTTACACAAGCTTTGCAGATAAATGGCAGTCTCTATGGGGCTGTGGTGTACGTTTTTTAGCTAGTAATCACATTTATTAATCATAGATTTAAAATTGTGGATTTAAAAATTTGATTGTGATTGGATCTCTTCTTGTGAAATGCTACTCAGTGTTGATGGCATAATTGTGAATTATAAGTTTCCACTGTTTAAATAATGCCTGTAATATGGCTTTTAAAAGACATCTTTATTAAATGCTGACAGTATTTCTCCTGTACTGAGACACATTTTGTTTTAATGTTAGAACAAGGCAGTCAGTAGTTGAGATTACGTGTAGTTAGGTGAAAGTCCTATTTTCCAGGTTTTGACACTTTCTGCATGGCTAAATGTTATGCTTTGGAGAAACGAGATCAGGATGGTTATGCCTTAACATGTTTTCTGCTTGCAGTCCAAACTGGAAGAGTTACAGTGACGAAAAAAGTGCTGTGCAGTCTGTGGATGTTTCTGGCAGTTTATGTGAAGATGAAGACATGGATACGTTTGCCTCAGACACAGAAAAGGAAACAGATCCTAATAATGAGGCTATAAATCAAGAAGAAAGTGTTGGTAGTGAGGCTGTCTATGCTGTTCCACACAAAATTAAAAAGGTACGTTTTCAGGTGTTACATATCTGTCAGCTAATTGAAAAACATATGATAAGAATCATACATTCTTGTAATTGCATTTGCAAAAGTTCATTATTGTCAGATACTTTAGTGGCTTTCCTCAACACCTTATGTGATTCCAGTCTCTCTCCTTTAACTATGAGGGCACAGCAAAACCCCAGTCATAGAAATAGCATAGAATCCTAATTTCCTATTTTGCTATTAAAGCTAGAAAATTTTATCTCTTCATACTAGTGATGAGTGAATTCCCTATGTCTTAAACTGTAATTGAGTTACCAGTTATGAGCACCATTTGCAAAACCTCATTTTAATCAGTAGTTCTACATTGGCTTGCTTTTGTTTGTGCATGAGTGTTTTCATGCTGTTGTTCAGGAATGGTACTATGGGGGAAAGGCAACACATTGCCTTGGCAGCCACACAGCACTCCCTTTCCTTCTGTCTCCACTGACACATGATTGACTGCTTGCTAATTCATATTTCCTCACTTGGATCCCATTGTGGATGAGGAGGCAGCAGTGGTGGCGTTACCTGCCCGAGAGGTGGCAGCCACCAACGGAGAGGAGTCATGTCTTGCTGTAGCTATTCCGCTGCTCATTCCTCTTAATGGTCCTCCCAGATGGAGGAGCAGGCAGATCCCAGAGAATGGGAGCATGAAAGGTTCAGGGGCAGCTTCATCAAGGCCTTAAAGGTGAGATTGATATGATGCCTGGGGGCTTACATAATTCTCAGTACTATCTTGCTTTGTAAATGACAGTCACCGAAGTCAGTTGTAAATGACATTCACATTTACAAAAACCTCAAGTAAATTTCAATATTCAGGACAGTCTCCTTGAGATCAAACAAAGGGCTTAAAGCCGTGATACTCAGTAGTTTTGGAGCCACATGTGGTTCTTTGAAATGCTGCCTGTGGCTCTTCAGAGCGCTCTTCCCCAATATGGTACCTGCCCTGTTTTCCAGGAAAGTGGGTCAGGACTTGTGGTTGGCAGGTGGCTCCCTCCCTTGATACAGCCACTGCTAGAGGAAAAGGTAAGCTGCAAGCCTCCCTGAGATGCAGCCCTAATGCCAGGGATGGAAGCAAATGTGGCTCTTTTGTTTGATGATAAGTGCAAATGTGGCTTTCCATGGGATGAGTACCACCACTAGTTTAAAGTAGTCAGCTTCGGAACATGGGCCAATACTGTCTTCTGGGCTCATCTGGCCGTCTGATGAATACCGACTGAGCTTGCACAAAAGGGGCGTATAAGCTTGAGATACATCAGGGTATTAATGGCTTAATGGAACAAAGTTTGAGTCCAGTGGCAACCTTTATGATCAACAAAGTTTAATTCTGGGTAGAGATGTAAAATTTCCAGAAATTTTGAAGCTCGGAAAAAAACTTGGGTTTTTTCCAGTTTTTTTCGGGGGGAAACGGAAATTTTCGGAAAAATTGAAAAAAATGCTACATTAGCATTTTTTTGTCTTTTCCAGATTGAAAGTCATTCTGTTACTTTAGGAATATAAAATATGACTATGGACATTTTGACTTGGTATGAAATTATCACAACTAGCATATTAAAAATATAGTGTATCCAAACAATTATTACGAACAGAATACCCACGCACATGAACAAACAAAACTGAATCCTTTTTATTTTCTTCTGACAATAGCACATCCTAAAGGAAGAAATGCATCTTGTTCTTGCATTGGAGAGTTCAGTTTTGTAACCTAGGACTTGCTTGTCCTCAGTGCATAGAAATTAGATCAATCTGATACCATATATATATATTTTAGAAATGATTTGGAAAATATTTGAACATCTTGTCTTAAAATATTTTATTTATCATGTTAAAATAAAACGTTCTGTAATCAATTTCTTTTCTTTTCTTTTTTCAATTTTTCGGAAAAAAACAAAAAAGGCTTCAGGAAAAAAACTGAAAACGGTTTCTCCCCGAATTTTCCCGGTTTTTTTCTGGGCCTTCACATCTCTAATTCTGGGTATAAGCTTTCGTGTGCTTATACCCAGAATTAAACTTTGTTGGTCTTAAAGGTGCCACTGGACTCAAACTTTGTTCTATTGCTTCAGAACAACTCAGCTACCAACCTGAATCTGTCTAAATGGCTAATGGAGTAATAATTGCAGGGCAGGGGGGAATCAACGTGAAAAAGAAGCACTGCGAATCCATGTTACAAGCCACTTATTTTTGAACTTTGCAGCATCAACGCTTGGGAGCAACTTGTTACCAATTAAAATTTGTTATGTTTGGGACCATTATATAGTGCTATTTTTGTAGCTTTTTCAGTATTAAAAACACATAAACCATCTTAAAATAAAATACGTAGATTTATACTGAGATAGAAGACAGTTTTTAACTTTTAATTGTTATAAATATATGTTAGCTGACTGGAAATATCAGCTGGATTTTAATGAGTGAGGTTACTGGAATCTAGACAGATGTTAGATCAGCAGTTAAGTTTATCAGGTTAGCCATCCCAAAGCCATATGATGGTCAGAGAATTTGATGAATATGTTTTCTTTAAGCTGTACCTAACATAAGAACATAAGAGACGCCAATGTTGTATCAGGCCAAAGACCCATCCAGTCCAACACTCTGTCACACAGTGGCCAAAAATATCAGGTGCCATCAGGAGGTCCACCAGTGGGGCCAGGACATTAGAAGCCCTCCCACTGTTGACCCCCCCCCCCCAAGCACCAAGAAGACAGAGCATCACTTGCCCCAGAGCCCCTATCTATACCTTGTGGCTAATAGCCACTGATGGACCTCTGCTTCATATGCTTATCTAATTCCATTTTGAAGCCGTCCATGCTTGTAGCCACCACCACTTCCTGTGGCAGTGAATTCCATGTGTTAATCACTCTTTGAGTGAAGAAGTACTTCCTTTTATCTGTTCTAACCCAACCGCTCAGCAATTTCATTGAGTGCCCACGAGTTCTTGTATTATGAGAAAGGGAGAAAAGTACCTCTTTCTCTACCTGCTCTTTCCCATGCATAATCTTATAAACCTCAATCATGTCACCACTCAGTCGTCGTTTCTCCAAGCTAAAGAGCCCTAAGCGCTTTAACCTTTCCTCATAGGGAAAGTGTTCCAACCCTTTTATCGTTCGAGTTGCCCTTTTCTGAACTTTTTCCAAAGCTATAATATCCTTTTTAAGGTGTGGTGACCAGAACTGCACACAGTATTCCAAATGAGGTTGCACCATTGATTTATATAGGGGCATTATGATATTGGCTGATTTGTTTTTAATACCCTTCCTAATAATCCCCAGCATAGCATTGGCCTTTTTTATTGCAGTCACACACTGTCTCGACATGTTCAGTGAGTTATCTACTACAACTCCAAGATGTCTCTCTTGATCAGTCCCTGCCAGTTCAGACCCCATCAATGTGTATTTATATTGAGGATTTTTGGCTCCAGTGTGCATCACCTTGCACTTGGCAACATTGAACCCCATTTGCCATGTTGACGCCCACTTGCCCATCCTTGACAGATCCCTTTGGAGTGCCTCACAATCCTCACTGGTTTTCACCACCCTGAACAACTTCGTATCATCCGCAAATTTAGCCACTTCACTGCTTACTCCCAACTCCAAATCATTAATGAACAAGTTAAAAAGCAGTGGCCCAAGTACTGATCCCTGCGGTACCCCACTGCTTACCACCCTCCACTGAGAAAATTGTCCATTTATACTCTCTGTTTTCTATTAATTAGCCAGTTTTTGATCCATAAAAGGACTCACCTTGTAGACATACTTAGTACCATCTTTCTGCCTCTGGAATCTGATGTATCATGGAGACAGGAGTGAACTTAAGTTCTAAGAGAATGGAAAGTAAAAGCAGGCAAAGTACTCAAAACTGTCCTTTGCCTGTTGTATGTTTGGGCAAAGCAAGCATTTGGCATGATTCTAAATTGTGCCTTTGTAGCAAACTTTTGTGTAAAACCAAGAGCTGCTCCTCCAGGAGATGGTTTCACAACTGGAATGATTAGGCAGAGTTTATGAGTCAGCTGGGCATCACAATGGCAATCCAAAACCCATGAAGTTATTAATTCTGTGGCCAGAGTGGCCAAAATACCTGCTTGGTACTTCTTGATTGACTCAGTTGTAAAAGCTGTTTTTGAAACTAGGCTGGCAGTATCATTATAATGAGAACTGTGATGCCGCAGTGGTGAGTCCAACCAGACAGTATGATTCATAAACCAATGTACAAGCAAGAGTCTTTATCTCTAGTTCTTATAAATTCCCCCTCCCAGTTCCTCAGATTATATTGCTTACATCTGAGAGAGCAAACAGCTTTAAAGTCCCATCATGCACCAAATGAAATTAAAAATTCAGTAGACAGAAAGGCATTGGAGGGAAAAGCAAAAGGGACGGGAAAAGAAATAAAATACAGTGTCTGTGTAAAGTTGTTTTAAGAGAGGCAAAGGAAGGCAGCAAGCTCAAATCCTTTGCTGTGTGTGAGTCCCAGTGAAATAAATAACCCTTTGAAATAAGTTCCATATCTCAAGCTTCAGGATGATGTAGACTCTGAGGAAAGTGGGATTCTGCCCTCCTGGGGTGGTGGTGTTTCAGAGTACAGGTTGATTTTTTTTTGTTTATTTTTATTTATCAGCACCTTTATGCAGATATTATTGACCAGTCAAGTAGAATACAAACAATATTTTAAGTGAATGACACTGGAAGGTGCCTTATACTGGGTCAGACTGTTGCTCTATCAAGACCAATGTTGTCTATAGTTTCCTCTAAGCTATGCTAGGGCTGGTGCACAAAATTTTAACAGCCAGCTCAAAACATTTCTGCTTCAGCCCATTGGAAACACTGGAGGACAGGGGTACCTCCTTCTGGAACCTATAGAATTGGACACCTTGGTCCAATCCTTTTGAAACTTGGAGAAATTTTTGAGGAGAGGCACCAGTAGCTATGCTGCAAATTTGGTACTTCTACCTCAAAAAACAGCTTCCCCCCAAGCCCCAGATATCCCTACATAGATTCTCCATTATAGTCAATGGGACCCTTTGACTATAATGATCCCCATGGTCCCCATAGGTTACAATGAAGCTGGGAAAAAAGTTGTTGTTTTTTTTGCATACCCCTATTATGCTTTTCAGTGTAATTTATAAGCTGTTTCGAGTCACAGGAAAAAGTGAGAAATTTGAATAAATAAGAAGTTTGGGTAGGTTGATAACATTTAAGCAACTTCCTGTTTTTTAGGTTAGGCAGGGTTCTGACAGTGATTGTTCCTGAAGAAGTGAGTAATGACTCATGAAAGCTCATACTCTGCCACATATTTTGTTAGTCTTTAAGGTGCTACCGGACTTTTGCTTTTTCTACTGTTCCTCCTCTGTTATACTTGACCTGTAATGCTGGTTGTCATATTTCGCTAAAAAAACAAAGTAGACTTCAAGAATCCCACCACCACCACCACGCTGCCCAGTGCTGATATCTTTTCTAAGGCTTAGCACAGGGTGACTGTCTGAGGCTAGGTCTACTAATATAGTAGACTGGGGCAGGTAGACATGTTCTCCAGAGGCTGGGTCTACAAATATAGTGGAAAGTGGTGGGTAGACCTGTTCTTCAGAGGCCAGGTCTACTATATAGTGGAAACAGATGGGTAGACCTGTTCTCTGGAGGACAGGTCTACCAATATAGTGGAAAGGGGCGGGTAGACGTGTTCTCTGGAGGACAGGTCTACAAGTATAGTGGAAAGGGGTGGGTAAGATTTGACTTGATTCTGTTTTCTCTTATAATGTTTCAGTTATTCTTAAAATATAGTTTAAATATAATTTAAAAGAATGTATTCTGATATTTTTATAAGGTTATGGAAGTAATTTTCTAAAAAACTAATTTACGCAAAAGTCAAATGTAGCCACACTCCCATCCCTGGTAGTTCTGTGGTACAAAAGCTAGTATCCAGCTTCTATCCTTGTCTTGCCCTATCATAACTTAAAAATAGAAGCTATTTAATTAAATTAATTAATTTAGAAAAGTAGTATGCCATTCCTCCAGACCTGCTCAAGGCAAAGCAAACACCGGTAAAAGTGTTTTTAAAAAATTGTATAAATAAGAATAAATAAAAACAAAATAAATGAAAACATTCCAGTAAAAGTAAACGAAGGCATAAAAGCACATACAATAGAGCACTCAGAAAGGATGTTGATAAAACCATTCTCAGGCTTGAAGCTGACCAGCTAAAAAAGATAAAAAAGAGAAATGTTTTGGCCTGGCACCTAAAGGAGAGAAATATAGGTGCCAGGCAAGCCTCAAAGGGGAGAACATTCCACAAGTGAGGTGCCACCAGTGAAAATGCCCTGTCTATGGTTGCCATTTGCCTGACCTCTGCAAGGTATGCTAGAGCACACTGTCTTGTTTATGGCAGTTTATAAGTGGCGCTACTGATGAAACTCTCAGCAGTGCAAGATATACTTCTTATCCTGTACAAGGAATACTCTAGGCCAGTAGTTCTCAAACATTTTGAAGTGGGACCCACTGCTAAACTTACTATAATTTGTAGGATCCACTGGCAGAGTAACTCTACACTTCTTCCCCCCTCCCCAATATAACATTCTAGAATCTTATATCAGCTATTATATTAAATGCAAGACTAGCCCCCCCTCCCCAATTGGGAGGTAAATTTGCACACAAGTTACAGTTACGTCCAATAATAAAAATCCCAGCTGTCTTAGCTTCACTGCTATAGGCAAAGCATTGCTCAGGTTAGCTCTTTCAGACAACTTGGTTATACAGTGAAAAAGATAGGCAATGAGGGAGCTGGCGTATGTAGAGGTGGGAGAGAGCTCCATCATGGAAATGTAGTAGGTTAAAGAAAAGAAGGTGGAGGACTGGAAGGTGGACTATACAGTGATGGTGAGGGAGAATAGGCTTAATGGGCAGGGATGATGGGGAGTGAGCTGGACTGGAAGTGAGAGAAGCAGCAGGTAAAAGGATCAGGTAGTAGATGATATGAAGGACCTGAGACTCTAGAGAGCTGTGGCTAGTAAGTGTAGATGATACTGCGCCCCACATCTCAGTTTAATATGTCTTTAGTTAGTTATTAAGTAGCACATGTTCATAAGCATGCAGGCTGTTGTTAAGGTGGAATGCAGCTTTCAAGATCATACTGTAATATTTTTAATTAGGGAAATCTCCCAGTATCTTCAAGTACTGAAGTGGAGGAAGATGAACCCCATGATTCTCGGCTTGTTCATCCGAATATTATTGTGGAAGGTAAAGTTGCTTTTTGCTTTAGGAGGATATGTTGTGCAGTGACACCTGATTTTTTTGCATTATTCTGTTTCCTGTGTTTCCCGGTCCCCTTGAACTTGGTTATGGGGGTACAGCTTGGGTTTTATTATGGGATATAGAATGGTTTCCTAAAGAGGCACGCATTCATTCCAGCATTGCAATGTATGTTATCTCTTCCATGGTCCTCTTGAAAACAGGTGTGGGCGTCAAGCTGAAGTTTGAACTTGATGCATAGAATGGTTTCTTTAACACATAGAATGGTTTCTTTAACCAGTTACATAAACTTCATTCCAGTATTTCAGTCTCCAGGGCTCACAGAATATTATGTTGCATCTTTTCTGCAACCCCACCCCCCCAAAAAAAAAACAACCCCACAAACCTGATGGATGGACCACAATAGAAATATGCATTAGCTTTCATAATGCGCATACCAGAAGTTCAGTAGAATTATCACATTACTGACAAAATGCTAAATGGGCAATTTGAACAGACGTTTCACTTTATTTATACAAACACTAATGTAATAGAATAGGATCCGAACCCTCTTCTAGCTGAGTTGGAAGGATTTTTTAAATTTGATCTGCAGCACCCCCCCCGATGCTTATTTAAATAGTTTTATTCTGGCTGTCCTCAGATACATTGTTTTTTGTTGCTGTTGTTTTACAGAAATTGAATCTTCTGTAGAGCATTGTAAGGTAAGTGTCACAATGGAAAGTACTGGTTTGCATTATATGTTTTTAGAGTGTGCATTTAAGGACTGTTATAAGGTACAGATGCTAAGTAACTCTTTAGTAGATTTTGACTTTAGTTTCTCAGGAAACCTTTAACAATATTTGATAGTTTTTAGTGCATTTAATGGACAGAGTGCTTTGCAATCCATATTGTCTTCAGTCTCACAAGAAGCGTTGTCTTTGTGCTTGGTTGCTTTTTCTCTCAGCTCACTTCCCATGCCAGAGCTGGGCTAGGAGAAAAATGCTGAAAGCCGCTGATCACAGTGAAATAAAGTATAGAAAGAGGTGCAGAGTTTAGTTCTCCTCACTTGCGTGATTTGCTTTTGTTTTAAAAATATATCCCATCCACTCTGCTTCAGATGGGATTGGGTGTATAGATACATGCATGTACCGTGACGAGTTCAGTTTATACTGTAGGAGAATTATGAGACCGAAAGCTACAGAAAATCTCAAAAATAGGATTTGAAATGCTCAGTAAATGATATATTTTTTCTGGAGAGGCTAAAGAAATAAGTTTGGAAAAAGAAGGGAATTAACCAATTAGATCATTGTATTTCTGTTTCCATGCTAGGTTGAAAAAGCTGAAGAACCATTGATTGAAAAGCCTCCTCCTAGTCCAGGTGCTTAATTGTTGGTTTTGTTTGGAATTGTTGTAAATTTGTCATATTTGATCTTACATATTTTGTATGTTTATTTATTTGCGTTATTTATAGTCCACCTTTCTCACAGAGACTCAAGGCGGATTACACATAATGAGCCAGGACAATCACAAAATGGTTCTGTTACCAGTGCATTGGGATATTAGAAGTCTGGAACTAGGGGTGTGCATTCGGTATATACCAACCCAAATAAATATCCGAATAACACCTTATCGGTATTATTCAAGTATTTTCTAAGACAAATCAGATTCACTAATCTGATTCAGCTACCGAATAGGGAGTCCTGAATAAAAGCCAAAATTATTCAGCTTTTATTCAGGCACTGCTTGGAGAAGCCGAGTCGCACCAGGGAATGGGAGGCTGGGGAGTGTGTTGCATGGGCGGGGTGACCCAGGAAGATGGTCCCAGTTGGAGGAAACACACAGCATCAATTGGCTGGAACTATAGGCAGTCAGATTGGCCCTTGCAGACTTCCAACGGCATCTGCAGGACCACCATATATCGGTATGCACAGACAACATGTCAACGAAGGCCCACCAGGAGCAACAGGTGAAGGCCACTGTTCCTGGAAGCAAAACAACTCATGAGATGGGTGAAACAGAATCTGGCCAGTTTAAGAGCAGCCTACCTGAAAGGCCAAACCAATCTGGAAGCAGACTGCCTAAGCAGGAAGGATCTGGACCGAGGGGAATGAAGCCTAAACAAAGAAATATTCATACAGATCACCCAGAAATTCAGTATTCCAGTCACAGACCTACTAGTGTCATCGAACAACTGTAAGGTGCACAGATTCCTATCAAGGTATCAGGAACCAAAAGCGGAGGGGGAGGATGCACTGTCCAACCTGTGGCCGTGAGGTCTGCTCTACGCCTTCCCACCCATGCCCCTCATAGGCAGGATGTTTAACAGGATCAGGAGGAAATGGTCATATTTGTGGCCCCCTGCTGGCCAAGATGACTGTGGTTCTCTGCTTTGGTGCAGATGTTGAGTGCATCATCCTGGAGTCTTTTAGCAAGGCCAGATCTCCTACACCAGGGTCCAGTACTCCACCCAGATCCAGCTTGGCTGCAACTGACGGCTTGGAAATTGAGAGGACAGACCTAGAGGCGCAAGGCTTCTTGAGTGAAGTGGTGGACATCGTGCTTTCATCAAGGAGACCAGCCATGAGACGCATATATAACCACACGTGGATAACTTTCAAGAAGTGAGCAAATACCAGAAAGAGAGCCCCACAAAAGTCTTCCTACAAAGATGCTGTGGAATTCCTGTATGATGGCTGGAGGCAAAGCCTCAAGCCCAACACATGAAGAAGAGGAAGAGATTGGATTTTTACCCCGTCCTTCACTCAGAGTCTCAGAGTGGCTTACAAACTCCTTTCCCTTCCCTTCCGCACAACAGACACCTTGTGAAGTAGGTGGGGCTGAGAGAGCTCTTTCAAGAACTGCCCTTTCAAGGACAGCTCTTGTCAGAACTATGGCTTTCCCAAGGTCATCCAGCAGCTGCAAGTGGAGGAGTGGGGAATCAAACCCCGTTCTCCCAGATTAGAGTCTGCACACTTAACCACTACACCAAACTGGCAGGTAGCAGCTCCCAGTGCCATACTGGGACCGAGGAGACTCAAGAACCTGTCAGCAAACAAACACATAGAGCATTTCATAAGGGAAATAAGACAGCTGGGTCCTCAGGCCCGACATAGATTCCCCACGTGGAGCCTCACAAAGGTGCTACAGGCTCTCACACAACCACCTTCCAAACCCAGTCAAACTCAAGTACCTGTCACGGAAGTTGGCCTTCCTCGTAGCAGTAACATCCACCAGGAGGGTATCTGAGTTGGCTGCATTATTCTCCAGAAACGAGCTATGTATTTCCAAAAGAACTCAGTGACTCTTAAAACAGACCCTTCCTTCATTATCCAAGGTCAAGTCAGCATTCCATCTAAATCAGTGGGTCCCAAACTTATTTGGCCTACCGCCCCCTTTTCAGAAAAAAATTACTCAACGCCCCCCTGGAAATCTACTTTCAAGAAGTGGACAAAAAGATGCAGTGACAAATTTGCACATAGTAAAGAAAGATGTTGTTGGCCTGAAGCCAGAGGCCAGCAGCAGCTGCCACACAATAGCCCAGGAGCAACACCGGTCTTACAAGGGTGTGTCACGGCAGGACCAGGGGGCGTGACACAAGCAAGCAAAAGTCCAGGAACAGTCCGAGGTCAAGCCGGGCAAATCAGGTAGCAAGGTTCAAGCAGGTTTAAATCACAGTCCAAAAGCAGGGTCAGACATACCAAAGTTTCAAGTCCATAAATCACAACAATACCAGAGGAGTCAGAGATGAACGCAGGGTCAACAAAGCCAAAGGTCAAAAGCCGAGGATCAAGCCGAGAAGAATTCCACAAGGTCTGGAGCAGAGATGCAAGGATTCAGGTCCTGAACAAACGACGTTGCCAGCACAAATGACTGCTGGCAACAGACTTGCATATATACAGTGCTAGCTAATCAACTCATTAGCTAGCCAGGAGTGAGGACAGGATCCTGTCAGTAATCAGGGCTAAGAGATCTTCTGGCACGCATGCGTGCATTCTGCCTTCGCTCTCTCAGCTGTTGTCTTCTTACATTCCTGAGCCTGGTTACAGGTGGAGGCGAGTCTGATGATGAATTACTGGGCTGCAGCAGAGACTGATCCCTTGCAGGTGTTCCCTGGGAGGCTCTATCCTCCTCACCACTTAGATAGCTTTCAGCTACAGGATCCAGTCTTTGCCCTTCTGCTGCAGTACTGTCCTCAGGAGCCTGTTCAGGGGCATCAGGAGCCTGTTCAGGGGCATCAGCAAAGGCAGGCATGACATCAGCAGGGGCAGGCATGACAGGGTGCACATGGCTGTGATTGGCTGTGGGAACCCCTCTCCCCTCCCTGATCCCAGGGAAGACCAGGAGAAGGCAGGGAAAGGCTGCTTTAGGTTCTGGACTCTTTTTTCTTTATGCTTCCGCCACCCCCTTATTTTTATTCAAAGCCCCCCCAATTGCAGCAAGTCTCCTACCGCCCACCTGAATCATTCCAGCGCCCCCCAGGGGGTGGTATTGCCTACTTTGGGAACCAGTGATCTAAATCAACTACTGGTGCTGCCGTTGTTCTGCCTGACACCAAAACACACAAAGGAAAGGAACTGGCACAACTGTGCCTTACACATCTACCTGAATAGAACAGCTGCCTTTATCAGACTCCCTGTTCATCTTACACAGCAGTCAAAAGCTGGGGGAAAGAGTCTCAAAATCCACCATCGCCTTCTGGGTGACCCAGTGCATAGGTAAAGCATACGAGGCAGTGGGATTGATGCCTCCCACAGCACATTGTATGAGAGCGGCAGCAACCACAGCGGTCTTTTCGTCAAGAGCGGCCACATGGTCCTCTTTTTCAACCTTTGTCAAGCATTATAGAATAGGCCACGCAGCCTCAGCAGAGGCAGCTTTCAAAAGAAGGGCGTTGCAACGTGTGATGGGAATCCCACCTAGAAGTACAGCTTGGGTAAAGCGAGCCAGTTTAGATGACTTCCCCCCACTGGAGGAGAACAAAACATTGGACCTTAGCTGAAGGTTTCTTCTCTTCAGTGGGGTGGTCATCCCCATTCCCACCCCAAAAAACCAAACAAACAAAAACGAGAAGACACAGGGAGTAAGATCCACCCACTCAACAGACAAAGCAAAGAAAGATCTATGTACCTAGAAAACACACAGCAGGAGGGTCACGACAGGAGGGTCAACCAATGAGCTGTCCAATAGGAGCCACACACAAATTTGCATAGCTCTACCTGAGTGAGCGGAGGTGTGACCTAACCAGTTTGGATGACTTTGCCCTACTGAAGAGAAGAAACCTTCAGCTAAGGTCCAATGTTTCGTTCCCATCACTGGGGAAGGGAAGAGAATAGCCTTGTGGCAGAATCATAGAATCATAGAGTTGGAAGGGGCCATACAGACCATCTAGTTCAACCCCCTGCCCAGTGCAGAAAACTAGTCCGCTTGCCATTTTGTATGCAGATATAAGAGGAAATGCAGGGTCATTGTTGAATTAATATTAATCTCTCCCAGTATAAACAACTTTACAAACATCCAGAGGTTTTGGTTGCATCAGCCTATTGGGATTGATTACTTTGTACGGTATTATGACTGTTTTTGAAGTATTGCTTCTGGTAGCAAATTCAAGATTTGTTTTTGCAATCCTAGGCAAAAGGCAAGCTGTAATGTTTAGAATTGTAATGAATTAACTTAATGAATATCTCAATCCTAAGGATATTTACTGTGAAACAAACCAGGGCTTCTTAATAAATATATTGAAGATATTTTAGTGAAAACCTAATGAATAATTCTGTACCATTTCATTGATAGATGTGATAGTGCGTAAAAGGCAGGGGCAGATGGATCTTGCTAGAGAGAAGGTCCAGAAACTGAAAGAAGAAAATTGGCATTTGAACAATGCAAGTCAGACCCTGCTTTCTGAACTTGGGGAGATGAAGCCGCAGATGAAGGAACTTCAACTAAAAGTTAAGAAATTGGAAAAAGAAAATGCAAGGCTTAAAGAAGTTGAAATTGCAAAGCTTAAAGAAAATGAACAGAATTCACATAAGGAAGGTGGGAGTTTATAAAAGATTATATTTGTGAGAATGAATAACCCTGTTCTTCTTTAAATATCTACAGGAATACCATCAGCTTTACCATTATGTATTGTCTTTGTTTACAGTATCTGTCACAAGCTGAAATTACTTTTGCTGAGTGAGACATATAGAACATCCTTGGGTTTCAAATAATACATTACTTTAATTGTTTTTATTAAGGCTTAAATCAATTGAGATATGTAGATTTATGAAATGCCAGCATCAGAGAAATCCCTTAACCTCTGTTCATGCAAACGTTTAGCTCAACATGGTCTACGCAAATTCGCAAAGGAATGGAAGTTTAACATAGTGTTTCCCAAAATGTTCTTCAACGAAGGATTTGGCATCTAATTAGAAACTCCATTGCCAAAGGCTGCTGTGCCCCCTGTGTATCATCAGCTGTGCCTACAACATTCAATCCTTTCCCCTTTTGTAGCAAGATGAAGACCTTTGTTAGGATGGAAGGTTCACATTTATTTTCATTTATGTAAAATATTTGTCTCCCATCTTCAAACTGAGAATTTCCAAGTCAGCTAGCCAATAAAAATGTTACTCAAAACGTCATTTATATAAAATCCAAAATGATCAATAAAAGAGGCCACTGCAGTACGTCTCTGTTCTTTTCTCCTGATGCCTGCCATCCAGTTTCTCTCTGGGAAGCTATGCTCATCCTACTACTCATAGCAAGGTTAACATTCTTCCTATATGGCTGGCGGTATAGGTTCAGCCCCCTTATTAACCAGGGTAAAGACTGTGTTGGTGATTGGAAGAAAAAGTTCCTTAACCAGCAGCAGTGAGAGCCTCTGCATGCTCTTTTCTTTGTAGAGCTCCCCTGAAAGTGTTCCAGCAAACCATCTCTGATCTTCAGGCCAGTGGCTGAAATGCTCTGATCCAACCTGTAATTCAGCCTTTGTAGGACAGAGTCCTTGGAAGAACAACTAAAGTATCAAGGAAGCTTATTGTGGTTTCCTTTGACCCTTTCCTGGTAAAGAATGAAATGATGGGAATAGTAGCCCTCACAGGAATGAAGCGCTTCTCAGAATGTGTACATTGCTTCATCTTCTATGCTTCTACTGTTAAAAAACGACAAGTGTGAATCCACTTTCAATGCACTTTCCAACTGGACTTTGCCAGTTCACACAGTAAAAATCCAGTTGGGAAGTGCACTGAAAGTGGATTGAAAGTGGATTATTTAGTGTGTGTGATCACAGCCTTAAATTCTCAGTATTTTGGCATGTGTAGGAACAGATATACACAGAGGGCTGTGGTAGGTAGGTAGAAAATTTATTGTGTATGGCCATAGGCCTTTACAATCAAGAATCGTTAGAGATAAAATGCACTTACAGATATAACAATAAGGTTAAGATGCTGAACTGCAGGCTGTGGAAGGTCAGTAGTTCAGCAGTTCAAGACCCGGGTGCCGCAAGACGGAGTGAGCTCCCGTCTCTAGTTCCAGCTCCTGCCAACCTAGCAGTTCGAAAGCAAGAAATTGCAAGTAGATAAATAGGTACCACTTTGGTGGGAAGGTAACAGCGTTCCGTGCTCCTTGGTGCTTAGTCATGCCGGCCACATGACCACGGAAACGTCTTCGGACAGCGCTGGCTCTTCGGCTTTGAAACGGAGATGAGCACCGCAACCCTAGAGTAGGATTCGACTGGCTTTCGAGCAAGGGAACCTTTACCTTTACCTTTTATATAACAATTACAAGAAGAAAACTATACAAGCAGGTTTAGCCAGATGGAACAAAATTAAAATCTCATGGCTGGGAAGAATCTCTGCAATCAAAATGAATGTACTGCAAAAACTATTTTTTTTTATTCCAAATACAATCTACACATATATAAGAAAGAATATTGAAAGATTGGCAAAGACAGATAAACCAATTTATATGGAATGGCAAGAAACCAAGAATAAGCCTTAAAATATAAAATTATATTATCAAGCGGCAGGCCTGGTTTGGATTGCGGATTGGATTAAAAACCCAAGACAAAGAATAGTAAAACTTGAATCAGCAGACTTAAATGAAGGCTTGCACAATTGTTTATGTATGATAAAATCAATCAAAACGATCATAACACAAGAAAGGAGTATAATCAGAGATGGACTTTTGAGAATATGGTTAACATGGTTAATCTTGTAATTGTTTTTTAAAAAGATTACAGTTTTGCCTAGTCACATTTATTCCTAGGAATTTAATGGGGTTGTTGGCTACTATACATTCTATACTCTGTATAATATCTTCTTGTTACGTTAAATTTTTAAATAATTTTTCTCTTCTTCTTGTTGACTTTATATTCTGAGAAGGATCCAAATTCTTCAATATGTTCCATTCTGTATTGTAATGATTTTTGGGGATCCAAAACTGTTAGAACTACATCATTTGCATAGCTTTTCATTTTAAATTCTACATCATCCACTTTTATTCCTTTGATCCTTAGGTCATATCTGATCTTTGTAGCTAAGGTCTCTATCACTAAGATAAATAGGGGTGACAAGGGCCATTCCTGGTGTGTTCCTTTTTCAACTGAGATTGCTTCTGTTAATTTTCCATTTATTAAAATCTTTGCTTGTTGGTTCAAGTATATACCTTGTATCCAGTTCCAGAATTCAGGGGTATAGCCCATATTTTGAAGTATGTTCAATAGAAAAGGCCATGTTAGATTATCAAACGCCTTTTCTGCATCCAGAACTAAATACTGCTTCCTTTCTTTTCTTGTTCTCAAATCTGATTGCATCTATTATGAATCATATATTATCTTTCATATCCCTCTTTGGTACAAAGCCTGTTTGATCAGGGTATATTAAATTTGATATACATTTTCTTACTCTTTCTTCCATTACTGTGGCAAAGATTTTATAATTACATTCAGCAGAGAGATGGGTCTGTATGACTGTGGTAGTGTAGCATCACTGCCTTCTTTGTATATTAACGTTATATATGCCTGTTGCCACGTCAGTGGGATTGTCTTTCCTTCTTTTCTCTCATTCATAACTTTTTGTAATGGTATCATTAAAACTTCTTCAAAATGTTTGTAATACATTGCTCTCAGCCCATCCGGGCCTGGTGCTTTGTCCTTTTTTATACTTTTTATTGCCTTGGAGATTTCTTGAATTGTTATTGTTGGTTTAAAGTTTTTCTATGGTCTGGTGTAAACTTTGTGGTTGGAATGTCTGTTAGATATTCTCTTATTCCTTCTTTCTGAGAAAGACTTCTTTTTGTATAATCTGAAAGGGCGTTAATAAATTGTTCTTGTATTTCATTTTCTGCATATGTAATTTGATCTCCTTTCTTTACACATGTTATTACTCTTTTTTCTTTCTCCTTCCTAAGAAGGGTGCCCAGTATCTGCCAGGTTTGTTTGCATGTTAAAAAAGCCTTTGTTTTAGAAATTTTAATTTTCTCTGTATCTCTTCCATTTCTCACACGTCTAATTGGTTTTTTAATTGTCTGATCTCTGCTAGCGTGTCCCTGTCTGGGCTTTTAGACCCAAGCTGATGTCAGATAGTATCCTACCTCAGACAGGAGGAAATTCCAAAGAGCCAGTTAAGTTGGAGGAAGGCTCAAAAGAAGCTTTGCTTAGTGGAGTGGTAGGATGTGGACAGTTATGAATGTCTGCACAACTTGTTAGCATCAAACCAAATACAAATATCCAGCTATGTTTTGTGGCTATCTAGGTCCTCTCTCTTGCTGCACTGGTTTGGCACGAAGAAGAGGAGCTTTATCACCCACTAGTAGGATGCCGTATGGAAATTATATTTATTCACTTCATTTATACCTCGCCTTCTCAGTGGAGTCTCAAAATGGCTTGTATCATTTTCCTCTTCTCCATTTTATTCTCATAAAACCCTGTGACGTAGGTTAGGCTGAGAGTGTGTCTGGCCCAAGGTCTCCCAGCAAACTTCCATGGCAGAGTGGGAATTCAAACCTGGGTCTCCCAGATCCCTGTCCAAGGCTCTAATTACTACACTGTGCTAGCTGTCTAGTGTGAGATAATGGGCAACATTTGGCTTGATGGAGGACTTGTGCAGGACTACTGTAAATGGTTTTGTAAACAGCTACTCTTGGAGAATAGCCATTTCTAATGCAGTATTTTGAATTTATAGTTTTTGAAACCTTCAGATAGTCAGCAAGATAGAGTATGACTGTTTTGCATTTTTTATTTTATTTTTAATGCAGAGGAACTAGCGGAATTGCTTTTATTAAGACAGCAGGCCCAGGAATTGGTAGATGAAAATGATAGTTTGAAAATGACCGTCCATCGTTTAAATGTGGAACTGAGTCGCTACCAGTCTAAATACAGACCAATTTCATCAAATGAGGTAATAATGTGTTCTCTCTCTGTCTGTCTGTCTGTCTGTCTGTCTGTCTGTCTCAAAGATTAATAAGGAAACATTGTGTTAGTGTGGCATAGCAACATAGTGTTTAAGACAATGTGCAATTCTAGAGGTCTCCAGTCCCCCTGTTTCCAAGTTTGCAGAAAAATCTCCCTTTTAATTTCTCCACCTGGCCCTGATCTGTGGATATATTGATGCTAAATTATATGCATCCTGGCAGGTTTGTATTCAGTTGTGCCTACATTTTCTGCTATCACTGTTATTTGATCTTCTGCAAATATTATAAAGATCAGGAAGCTGTCACTCAAACTTCTATTCAACGGCTTACAGAAGAAGAAACAAGTGGCTTTGCAGAAGAATCACCTGGCAACCTGTTAATTGTTTTTTACAGTATTTGTCACTTTGATGCTTTCTAGAGATCCTTCCATTTGTCATAGTGTTTTTCAGTTAGGGAATTGTGGTGTGTGTGTTTGTGCTTAGCACAGTGCGTTCTGGATTTACATATGTAATCAAATTATCCTCCTTGTTGTACAGTGTGAGGATATCTAGCCTGCCTTCCCCCATACATGTGGATCTCAAAAACCTTTCAAATATTTTAATCTCCTTCCCTTTCTTCATAAAAGTAATCAGTTGATAATAACTATCTTTGGATTAGAGGGTTAAAGGAAAGGAAGAGCCTGAAATAGGCAGTGTTATTTACCTTGAGGTGAGATCAAAAAAGCAGTTTTTCCTTTCCTTCTCTAAAAGACCAAATATTCTTTTTAAAAACCCTGCCTCATCCCCCTCAGCAGTCAAAATCTTAAGCATGTTTGCGTAGAAGTAAATGTACTCTGTTGAAAGGCAGCCAGGCTGCAATCTATACTTATTTATCTGAGAGCAATCCCTCTTGGGCCCCATGAGATTTATTTCTGAGTAAACATGCATAGGATCATGGTATTGGGCTGCAGTCTGACTCCTAAGTAGTCTTTCTTGAAAATAAGCCCCTCTGAAACTCTTGTGAGACTGGCTTTCAAGCAAGCATGTCTTAAGAACCTGGTACTAAACTGTATCTTTAAAAAAGCAATTTCTTCCCAGCCTTTTTAACAACAGTTTTTTCCAGATACAAAGTACAAACCACTCAAGGCAATAACCTTCCACGTTTAAAAGATTCAGCTTCATGGCACACACAGGAACAGAGAAAAACAAGGCTAGCACAGTTCAGCTTCAGGGCACACCGGAACAAGAAAACAGGACTACTGCAGATAATTAGATTGACTCAGACAAATTCAGGATTTCAGTGAGATGAGAGAGACATTGAAAAGGCAGCTGGCACTGGGTGTAAAACAGAACAGGAGGCTTCAGGCATGGAAGTTAAAGTACCATCTCAATAATTCAGGCAAAGGGACTGACAGCTCACTTAGGGTCTGGAATGAGCATGTGTAATGCATTTCTTCTCTTTTTTAAAAAAACAGGCCTCTACTGAAAACTTTCTTAAAACTGTGATTACCTTGGGGTGGGGGCAATTTATACTTGCCTTAGGTGAATAATCATTTATAAGCTCAGTCTTGAGACTTTGCTGATGTAGCACAGTGGTTGCCTATCACTAGACCCTGGGAAACAACAAGAGCAATATAACTGGCATCCCCAGTCTGGAGCTGGCAACCCTACCCCTCCCTCACCTGCCGATGGCCAGGGGGACCTGGCTACCCTAGGCTGGATGTTTAACAAAGATAAAGGGGGATGACCTCTAATAGTATCTTTAATGTCACAGATGTTTCCTCTGTGCAGAGGGACAGGTGCTTTGGTCTCAGAACTGATCAAGAAAGATATATGTAAGAGTCTGTGTGCCGTGTTGAGTTGCAGCCTCAGGATGAGAGTCCCAGTACAAAATAGTCATACTTTTAAAAGCTATGGCATCTAAGTAGGCTGTGGAATATACTGTCACTGGATGTTGAAGTTTCAAATATTAATTCATATATTTTTAAAAAATCTTAGGGTATGAAAATTGGAAGTCTTCCAGGGAAAGGGCCACCACCTCCATGGCTGGTAAGTACAAGCAATGAGGACAGTTTCACATCTCTTTGTTTCCTGGTAGGTTTTTCAAGAAGACACAAAGTGTGGTTCTCTTCACCGTCTCACTTGACAAAGTGCTTATTGTTTAGTTTGGGTAGTATTTAAGCTTTTTCCTTTACCAAAATAGTAAAAAAATAAAATAAATAAAGTTCACGTATCAAAGAATTCATCACTAATTTCTTAATTTCTTCATGGTCACCTTTTAGATAATAAAATAGACTTTGCATTTTGCTCAGATGAAAACAATTATAATATTGGTTTTGTTTCTTCTAAGTTTAAAGCTGTTCACAATAAAGCTTTTCTAAAAGTTTGACAAAGCTAGAGCATTTGTAGTTTTGAGGTGGATTAGATTGAAATGTCATTTTTCCTCTCCTTTAGCTTGATATGAAATATTTATCTCCTCTCCTATTGGCGTATGAAGACAGAATGAGAGAAAAGGAAGATCTGATTCTTGCACATGAGGCAAGTTGGCAAATTTTGTACGTTAAAGATTGTGTAAATATAACTGGGAAAAGGCCCCTACAATACAAGACAATGGTGATTTCCGTGGAAGGAAAGAATTTCCATCCACAGAGCATGACTTCCTAACCTCCCCCTCCTGCTGCTGCAAAATCCTGTCTTCCCAAAATGCTGCCCCATGGTGAAAAGTAGATACTCCCCCGCCCCAAAACAGCATGAGTAGGGACTCCGGGTCCTGTAGTGGGGGGCGGGAATTGGCTGGCCCAGTAAGATTTGAGTTAGGATTGGCTGTGGGTCCATGTTGCCTGTGTGCTCAGTGGCAAACTATTGTTTGCTGCTGTGTTGTGTGTGAGAGCCTTGCTCATTTACAGAGCAGTCCTGTGCACCACAACCTGGACATAAGCCCCATTGAATACAGTGGGACTTCAGGAGAAAAAGCCTAGGATTGCACTGTCAGCCTACTGTACAAACTTCTTACTGAGCTGATTTTATATATCTAGAATTCACTGTAATGTTTTATATGCAGCTTGATAACTGGTCAAAGAAAAAGAATGGGTATGCAAGTATTTATGGAATGATTTTTAAAAAATGCCCTCAGTTGTATATTTCAATTCTGCTGGTTTTGATAACCTGTTGTTATAGCAGACCATTTATAATTTGTCTATGCTTTATCATTTCTCATTCAGGAGGATATGAAGAATTTTAAAGCGCGAGTCGAAGAGGTGGTAAAGGAAAATGAACGGTTACACCAGGAACTATGTAAATGCAGTTCTGTTTCAACCAAAGAATGGCAAGTGTATTTATTGTCTTAAACTGTTAAACGGTTTTGAGGGAAAGGTCTTAAACTGAATCTCAACATAGATTGGAGTTTTCATTTTGCATCAGGTAGATTTGAGTACATTGATGAATGTAATTTCCCTCCTGAATATTTTGGGAATATATGTGCAATAATATAGTGGTTGGAAATTTCTACCCTTGCAATCAACTCCATGGTGGTAACGAGACTTGCCAAAGTAATTTATATGGTCTCAGTGACTGTTCTGTGCTCTATATCCAAGTGACTACATCTAAGGCCTAATTTTGTGTGAAGTTGGCGTAGGAGCAAACACACAAGGGAGCACAGCTAACATAATCTAGTTAGAGCTGTCAGCCATCTAAAATATTACTTTGGAACTTGCTTTTTCAATCACATCTCCAGATCTCACAGAATGCACATGATTCAGGAATCTCTACTTTGGCTGCTCCATCCTTTGCTCGGCAAGCACAGTTGCTGCACGTGCCATGGTTATTGACACAGGTGTTTCCTGGAACAAATTTGTTAAGCGAGTGTGACACACACCGGTCTGTTGGGAAGCCCTTCCCTAATAGGCGTTGCTTATGTGCCTTCTTTCTGCTTAGCGCAGTTGCAAACATTTGAATGGACTTCCGCTTTTAAATCAAGTTGGTCATTTACAGGCAGCAGCTGAAGAGCCAAGCCAAGCTCATCCTAGAAGAGAATGCAGTATTGATGGAGCAGCTTAAAATTCAGCAAGCGAAAGCAAAAGATAACCACAACCAGCATGTCCAAGACGGTAAAATATCTTGATTGCTACTTGAGAGCATCCATAAGGAGAGACTTCAAGTATAAGCAGAAGTCATAGGATGTCATAAGCCTTTTTAGGATAAGAAGTATTTGTTTATCAGTACTGTATTGATTGACGTACAATAAAGACTTCCTAGGAGTATTTATTTTGGCTAGGAATGTTTTAAAAACTATGGTGAAAATAATTAAGTTCAGTATGGCACTTGTTTATATACTCAGCCTTGATTACAGTGAAATGTCTTAACTGTTGGTCTAAAAATACAGTAGCATAGGCATAGATTACTGTTAATTTATAGATGATTGACATTAACAATATAAAACCAAGAAAATGTAATAGAGGCTATAGCAGAGATTTGAGTCAAAGAAGCTGGCCCCTCTGGCCCCTCTAGATACTATGCAGTCTTTGGTGGAGACCATGGAGAATTTAGAGCTGTAACAAGACTTCCATTTGTCGAGTTCTCTAGTACCCTTTAAGTACCCTTAAAAAGTCTCCGCTGACATTCACAATGTGTGGGAAAGCACATTTTAAAAATATCCGGCTGTAATATCACAGATTAATGCAGTTGCAGGAATCTCTGAACTAGATGATAAGGATTTGTGATGAACTAAAAATGACAGCCAGTTACCCAAGAAGTGAGTAACTGGATGCTGATGTTCACATTTGTTTGTGTTTTTACAATTTGTCTTTGCAAAGTTTCCAAATTAACAGAAAAGCTGATGGCTTCGGAAGCCAAGAAACAGAGCCAAGAAGAGGAGATAAGAATGTGTCAGAAGCAGCTGGAAGAACTACAGTCTACAATCAAAGGGCTAAAAGCCAGCTTTAAAGACTGTATAACCATGGAGGAGCATGTGGCTTTGATAAATCGGGTTAAAAGGTAGGAGTACAAGGAAGGAAAATCTGGAAACGGCTGTCTTGATTAGAGTTTGTTTATTGCATAGTTACTGTGAAATTTAGTGCATGGGCAGATTGGCCATTATAGGCACCAGGATGTCTGCTGGTGGACCACTGGCCTTCCCCCCCCCCCCACACCAGCCTAGTAGTACAAGGCCTGTGCCTTGCCCATCTGAGGCAAGGGAAACAGTACCTGGCTCATCCAAGCTTCACGTGGAGCAAGGGAGCTAGCACCCAGGCCTAGTGGGAGGTGAGGAAACCACAGCCCAAGCTTCGCAGGAGATTGTATTTGGCCCAAGCAAGTTGAAGAAGGTGGTGCCCAGCCCACCCAAGCCCTCAAGGGAGACAATGCCCAGCCAGTTTGATAGGGAAGCTTCCTTCCCCCTTTGGAGGGGTGGGAATGAGGTGGAGGCCACCTGATGGCTTCCCTTCCCCTCTCCTTTGGGGAGGCAGTGCTCGTTTGAGCTGAAAGGCATGGCTCATTTTCTGGGTCTTTCCCCCCTGCCAGTCCACCATTGATTTAGTGGGACATAGTAGTTGGAGTGTTGGCACGGGCCTGGAAGAGCCCAGCTTCAAATTCTAGCTCAAACTTTCCTTTTTATTCCCCTTTTCTTTTTTCCCTTCCTTCCACCTGAGCTTTCCTTTATTTCTTTTTATTTTCCCTCCTGTGAGTCTTTTGCAAAACAAGGAAGAAGGCATTGGGTTTGGCTCCACCTCTTGAGGAACCGTTTTAGGATTGGCTCTTGTCTCCTGTAAAAGCCATTTTAGGACACCATCCCCTCTCAAAATTCCATAGGTACCATCAGATTAAAAAAGGTTGGAGAACCCTGATCTAGAGACTTTGGTGTTTTCCAGATTGCCCTAATGTTCTATTTTCATTCTCCTGTGTCCAGACAACTTAACATCCCATACACACACACACACACACACACACACACACACGGTCTAATTGTATCTTTACCTTTTAAAATCTTTTAAATCTTGCCCTGACCTGGGTAGTTCGGGCAAGCCCGATCTTGTCACATCTTGGAGGCTAAGCAGGGTCGATTCTGACAAGTACTTGGATAGGAGACCTCGTTGAAATACCAGAGGCAGGGGCAGGCTTTATTCTCCAGGCCCCTAGTAGGGGTCATTCACCAGCAGTCGCTATGACTTCCAGGTGCACATGCACTCACACGCACATATGAAAAATTAAGAAAAAACCTTTGAAATCTTAGCTGGGACATGGAACATAAATAAGATATTCTGTTGTGATTACCCAAATCCATCCCCATTGGACAAACATATTTTTTAGTGAAAAGCAAGAAGGGGATTTCTTGGTTTCCCCACTATCCCTGGTCCCTTTGGTAGCCAACCCCTGCCACTAGTTTCTTCATCCTGTTGCCCCTTTATGCAAACTATATGTGCAATTGCATGCTGTACATGCTTTCATCCAAACCTCTAAAAATGACCCCTCTAGAGGTAATTGCATTATATTTAAAATGGTGTCATTGGAGGCAAAGTGCATTAGTAGTGTGGGTTGTACCTGTACCCAAGTTAAGCTCATTCCACAGCATTCTGGGTCCTTTTTCCTGTGCTGTTGATTAATGTTTTACCAGCAGTTAAAAGAATGTTCTTAAAATAAGCGGCTTGCAAGGTTGATAGCATAAAGCTGTCCAGAATTGCTTCAGCCTAAATCCACTGATTTCAGTGGCCTTACTCCTCAACAGAGTTACACCCTACTGGAAGTCCATTGAACTCAGTGGTTTTAGAAGCATGTAGCTCTGCTTAGGGTTGAACTGTTGGACTCCTTTCACACAACAGCCATTTCTCATTTTGCTCTCATTACTGCTGCTGTGGCAGCAGAGAGTCCCACTGCAGCTGCAGTGCTTTCTTCCCAGCTTTTAAAAGAATAAATTGGTACTAGGTATCTCCGGGCCCGTAGCTACGGAGGGGCATATTGGGGCCACGCCCCCTCACTAACAGCCCCACCCACAAGTCCTGCTGCCAGAAACCATTTTAAAAATATTTTTTGTGTATTAAATCAGTTAACTTGCGCTGTGGCACAGTGCAGCCTATCCGCAGCCTGCATTTACAGCTTTCTGCACCTTTTCCTGGGAGCGGTGAGGCCCAGCAAACTAGGGTGGTGGCAGGGCCCAGCACGCCTTGCGGAGGTACTGGTGGGTATTTTTGTTGTTGCATTGCTCTTGGTTTCCAAATCAGCCGCGGCTCTAAGGCAGAGCTCCGCCTTTCCCTTCCTGTTTCCCGTGCTCTGCAAATTCTGACTGAATGTACTGTGCATGGCTCAGCTGCGGCTGTTGCTCCCGGTACCAGTAGGTACCTTTGTTGTAGTTCCAGTTTGCTGTGGCTTGGATTATAGCGGCAGCAGCTCGGGGGGGAAGGGGGAAGTTGTTTTGTGTAGTTTTACAGTCTGCATCAGTTATTCCTTTACTCCACTTGTCCTTTTTATTTATTGCTTTATTATTTGGCAGTTCTGGCCAGACACATAATGGCTGCCTCATGAGGAAAAAAAAATGCCCCATGAGCCAAAAATTCCTGACTACGGGCCTGGGTATCTCACTTCAGTTCTGTGATGCTGTAGTGATATGCCTATTACCACATGTTTTTTAAAAGCTAGCAAATGGTCTTCTACATGTGGCAGTGGTGGTGGAAGTGGTAGGTGCCACGGGGAAATGGTGCCAGATGTGGCTGGGGAGATGTCCTGAGGTGGCATCCTCACACTTACCCACTTGGTTGGAACTGCCCAGCTGTGGGAGCTACCGAGCAAACACACCAAGGCCTCAGCCTAGCCCAAAGGATCCTGGGGATGTGGCAACAGCAGAGGAGGCAGAGCGGGGCCTTGCCTGATACAGGGAAGGGCCAGACAGGGAGGACAGATCCAGAGAAGAGCGCCAGGTGGGGTGGAAAAAGGGACAGGGAGTTCAGGCTGGAAGCAAGCTCCTTTGGGGGAGGCCAGGGGTGGGGCAGGGTGTGCATAGGTGGAAGCCCCGTTGGCCCTAAGTCCTGGCAGTTTACAGGCCCTAGCCCCTGGACTGCAGGGAGGAGGAGAGGCTGGGAATGTTCCTCCTCCAGGGAACCATTCAGAAGGCAGGTCCCAGACGGGCTAAGGGGCAAGGGCCAGGCCCCTCCCCAGCCTACAAGGGAAAGGATTGTAGTAGCTGGAACAGAGAGAACAGGATGCAAGCAATCCCCCCTCCTGGTAGCTGAAGCCTTCTCAAGACACATTGCAAGGAAAAAGGGGAGCGAGAGGGCACTAGACACCCAGATTCAGTCTGTATGACAAAGGAATTGGATGGGAGGCTTGGAAATCTGAACCTTTCCATCACACTGCAGTTGAGAACCCTGCTTTGACTCCAATTTTTCTGGGGGGAAACCAGAGTAAAGCCGGTTTGGTAAATATTGGGGCATCCAAGGGAAACCGTTAAACGAGAGGGAAGGAGAACAATTAGAGGACACCATTGTGCAGATGTTCTGGAAACCCTTGCTCCTGTTTGACAGCCAGGGTGGAGCAGCTCCTCCTTGAAGAAGTGTCCTTAGACTGGTGTGACTCTTTGTAGGATTGCACTCTGATAGTTGCAGCGGAAAGACTGAAATGTTAACGTTAACAGGATCTCAGCTTAGTTCTAAATAAACAGAGTTTCTCGTTCCCAGTGGCTGAGAAAACGAGTTGGCAGCAGATGGTATGCCTCCAGTGCTGCTCCTTAAAGCAAGCAGCCTTCCAAACTGACTTGTGAGGGCAACAGGAAGGGCAGGAGTTGGAGCTACCACCGCTGACCTTTTCTTCCCAGTCCGCGTGGGCTGAGTTGGCGTGGGTTGATTTGACCCTGAGCAAGTTTCAGAATGCTCCCAGATCGATATGTCTTGGAAAATCGTTGTACAATATTTTGGAGATATGTGACCTCATCACTGTAATGGGGGTTGTGTGATACTTGCAAGACCCCTGCTAGGTTTTGTCAGCGGATCATAAAAATAATAATCGCCTTCAAGGGCCTCTGGGAATATGCAATTTGCCACAGTGTAAACACTCTCTATTTTAGGGTTTATTAAAAAGTGAGATGGTGTGTCTTTTCTTGATTCCCTGTAGAGAAGATAGCACACAGAAATAAAACTCCGTAACCAACTTGTAGTGCTTAATGCTGATGGAGAATTAGAGTAATTGCTACAATCTAGGAAATGAAACTTCTAAAAATATAATTGGAGACAATTAAGCGACTGCGTGAACTAGTGTGATTCGACTGAAGTCAGTGTGGGCGTTGAATTGTACCAGGCCTGAGTTATAACATTAGTGGTGTAAGATTGCCCCCTAATAGATTTTTTTTTGCCTTTCTCAACAACAATAACAAAACCTTGCAGGCGATCACAGAAGAAAATAGTTTTTCTGATAAAGCAGTGGGAAGAAACAATGGAAAAGGAAGAGGAAGCATATAAACATCTGGGAAATCTGGTAATCTTGGCAGAGAATGGAATTAAAGACCGTGACCGTCTTTTAACCTTGGTAAGTTTTAAAGAGTCCATTGCTTATATGAGGCTCCCATGTGGTAGAACATCATCATGGAGCAAAAAATCTCTGATGAACTGTATATCAAATGGTACAACAATTGTTTGAGCTCTGGGAGAACCACATCTGAAAGACCTGAGATGACTGATAATTATGTTTGATCTACAAAAAAAAATCCAAAACAGAACCCACTTCAGCTGATCCTAATCAAAGGGATTACATAGCACTTGCTTGGGAAAATGTAAGAGAATATTTCAGTCCATGTAAAGATGCATATTATTGGGCTCCGTCAGAGAATTATAGCAGACATTTTTGTCTTGACGGTGGCAAGACAAGCTTTGTAATAACTTGTAATTCAGCGATTTCCCTTTCCATTCTGTTCCCGAAGTTCATTTGCAATAAACAGGTACTTTGAGGTCAACCCAAATGGGTGATAACCAGACACCAAGCTTGTCATTTTTTAAATCTGTTTAAAAGCATCTTCACTATTTTGCATGCTGATTTAACAGCTGACCCCCTATATGTACAGTTGCGATGTGTAATTCCATTCTAGTGTCTGACGAAGTGTGCTTTGTACACAAAAGCTCACGCCTTGAATAAAACTTTGTTGGTCTTAAAGGTGCCCCTGGTCTCTAACTTTCTTCTGTTGCTTCAGACTAACATGGCTGCCCACCTTGATTGTTCTAAATCATAGAATCAGAGAGTTGGAAGGGGCCATCCAGGCCATCTAGTCCAACCCCCTGCTCAATGCAGGGTCAGCCTAGAGCATCCCTGACAAGTGTTCGTCCAGCCGCTGCTTAAAGACTGCCAGTCTATTTAAGTCATTGCGCTTCAAAGGGTATAACTATTCTTAGGGTTGCACTGTGAGGTATTTAAAGTCAATAGAACAAATATCAGAAATTAGAACTCCTTGCAAACTTAATTATCTCTCCTCCCCCCCCCCCCTTCAGACCAGTTGCTTGGAAAAAAAGAACCAGGATTTTATCAATGAAATAATAGAAGGAGGTGTACGTCTAGGAAGTATAGAAGAGAAAGTAAAGGTAAGTGGTTTTTAATAAAACAATATATATGTATAACATGGGTACTTCATTTTTAAAAATTCAGTCATCAAGACATGTTTCTAAAAAGATTTGCAGCATTCACTTGCTTCACATAATTGGTTGGATCCAGACTAAATTGACAATTTCTGCTGAATCGTCCTTCCCACTGCAGACCACTCTCCCATCATATCATCCATCAGGGTCCCCCTTTCCCCCAGAAGTAGCATTTTGTATAGAGATCTATGGGCTGCAGTGAGAGGGGAGAGGCAGGAAAATCCCACTCTGCGGCTAGAAGATTTAGTCTGGATTTTAAGACAATGTCTTTAGGAGAGGGGGTGTTGTGGCTTTCTGTTTTAATAGGAAGAATGTATATAAACTGTTAAGTTCTAAAGTGCTATATGAATGGGGTCTGTTTAATACTTGCTTATACTGATTTTTCCTGCCATGGTTCCATGACCCTGTATAAAGTCCCATAGTAAAAAGGGATATGGAAATATGTTCTGTTTTATGGCCTGTTACAACCCGGGTGAGCTACAGAATTAGGAATTATTTAGGGAGAACAATTACAGGATTAAAGGATTTCATTAGCTTTATAACACTGTTAAGTAGATTTATGAGGGTGTAATCGGAACGGTTTTAACTCCTGTTTTACCTCTGAAACTCAACAGGAGCATCTTAGGGCCAGGAAGGATTTTTTTCAGCCACAAACTATTTTATTAATCTTTCACTAAAAATCTTATGATACCTTAACAGTTTATTTGGCAAATGGTTTTGTGAGCCAGCGCCCACTTAAAGAGTTCACTTGACAGAATAAGTTTAATTGGGTAGGAATAGGAGAAGCGTTGTTAGATACCGAGCTGGGCTAGAAGGCCCAGCATTCCAAGAAATAGGTGTGTTACATTACGCAGAGAGCAAATGAAAACAAGATCTAGTAAAAGGAGTATGTAATGTGTGATCCACTTGCCCACAGGTGAAAAACAGGTGAAGCAATATGATTTCGGTTGGAAATAACATTTCTTCCCTTTCTGCCCTTCGCTTTTGCAGTAATGTCCTCATCCTGCCCTCCTTCAGTCTGTCAGCTGAGGGCAACGTTTCATGCATCTGATGAAGCGGTCTGTAGTGCTCGAAAACATAACACCACAATAAATCTTTTGGGCTGTATTCAGATGTCCCCAACAAAGTCTGGTTTATTTGTAATGAAAATGAGCCGAAGTCCTTGGGCTGGCATGCTCCTCCTCCCTTTCCATGGTGGTGTTGGGAAGTGCCCTCAAGTTACAGCTGACTTATGGAGGCCCTGTAGGGTTTTCAAGGCAAGAGAGATTCAGAGGTGGTTTGCCATTGCCTGCCTCCGTGTCACACCCCTGGTATTTCTTGGAAGTCTCCAAATACTAGCCAGGGAGGACCCTGCTTAGCTTCCAAGATCTGATGGGATCAGGCTAGCCTGGGCTAACCAGGTCAGCGCTCCTTTTCCATATGGCACTGAAATTGCAGATCCTGAAGTTATCTAAATTATGCTTTAGGATGTAAGGAGGGAAAATAAAGTAACTCATTCAAGCACTTAATTTAGATACGATAGCCAATTACCATTCATTACAGACTTCCTGGTTTGAACACACATGAACACGTTCTACACCAAGTGTCTACAATTGTTGTTTGCATGGGTGCCAGGGACTTAATTGCGTTGGTCATGTGTGCATGTAAGATTAATATCTGCATGTATATATGCATTCAGTTGTCTTGATGCAAAAGACAGATCTGGTATCCTTTTTCCATGCACAGCAACATCGAATGCATGGCCCTGTGCAGGCAAATATGTTTCTTGACTAGGACAAAATCAAAACAATAAATTATTTAGCAAATTCTAGCAATCCAGTGTTGTGAAGATGCAGCATTATCTGCTCCAATTATAAATCTTGTTATATGAGATACTAATTGTTTCTGAATCCCCTTGATCGTATGAACCTGCTTACCAAAACAGTCAAAACAGCTTGAACCAGTGTAAGATATCAAAAGATTAACAGCTCTGTGGCCGTTCATTAGCCTGCTCTTTTAGGGAATGAGCAGATTTGACTCAGTCCTTGATTTCTTCCCAGATTAATTAACTACTCCAAAGGTTACTCATGTAATATTTGTTTTACTTACCGTGAAGCTTCCTTTCTCGGTGGCCTGGAAGTGGGTCATTCCTGACTTCTGGGATAAGGCTTCTCCTCTCCAAAGGCAGGGTCATCTGATCCTGGAGGGGAAGGGCTTGCACAGCGATCCTAGAGTTTTCTTATGTTAATTTTTTGTTTTTCTTCTTGACTTCCTTCGGGAAGAGACTCGCCTGGACCGGGAAGGGCTCTACACCCCCCTTCCAAGCCACATCAGAGCGGCAGCAAGTACAAGAGCTGACAGCCCTAGGTTTTTTCCTAAGTCCATAGCCCCACTATGGACTCCCTGTGTGGCCTCCTGCACTTGGCAGCAGGCTGCAGGAGCACAGAGTAGCTCCATAGAAAGCGTCCTGGCTGAATTGCGGTAAGGCATTCCTAAGGGGACCAGGGGCCAATGGGGAAGGCAATCAGGAGGTCTATCTCCATAGTGGCCAGTGAGCTCGGGGAATTTCAGTGGCCTGGGGGAACGGGCCTAGGCGAGGGAAGTTTTTGCTGATCCCCCCATTGCCCTTTGGTACAGGGCTCACTTCCACTTTCATTTATCACTTTCTGTTTGGCTTTGGGCATGGAAGACTTGGTGGGAATGTCTGTGAGGGTGAGACTTTCTACCTCGCAGTCATCTGAAAGCATGGTCTGCACCCTGGATCAATCCCTTTCTCCTGCCTCTGTTGCCTCCCTGGTTTCTCAGCAGACCATGGAAAGGGGAGGAGGTTCAAGCTGTGGATTTGTCTGGTGAGGGCGCCAAGACAAATCTCTTGGAATGGCTGAAGACAGAAATGTGGAAAGAATTCAGGGAGTTATTGCAGGCGCAGAGACAGGACTCCACAGATGCTGGCCTCTCTGGAAGTCAATCCTCCAAGGGATCTACCCATAAGAAGGGGGAAAGACACTGTGCTTTCTCTCCCCCCCCATCCAAAAAGGAAAAGGGGGGAAATAGGGAGTGTAGCCCTTTACTTAGTATCTAATCAGAGGACTCTGATCTTTTGGATTCCTCCTCAGAGAAGGAGGAATGGGAGCTGTCAGAGGAGGAAGAGGAGGTGGTTGGCCCAATGCAAAAGAGACTGTTCCCCCAGGAATTGTATAATAGAATTTTCAATTAGTTTATGATGGGTATTGTAATAATAATTATAAATTTTATACCATGACCACAAAAATCATTTTCTAGGATAGATAATGTTATAAAAGTTTGTTGGTTTAATTCTTCTGCAGAAATTACTGTAAAGATAAACGTCATACTCTTTTAGCATCAAATTACATCAAGCTGAGACAGTTTTGCCCTTTCAGTTTCACAAGCTTGTTTTGTATTCTCTTTTTTCCTCCTAGCCTTGAGATAACTATTTGATTAAAAGCAAGAGCCCTGGAGTTAAATTGGCAGTTGAACTAATTTTTGTTTATCTCTGTTTCTATTTAAACTTAGAAGACCACATGTAGATGAATGCAATTTTCAGCTAAGGAAAATAAAACATTTTTAATGAATTTTCTCTAGTTAAGTATTCAGTGTTTGAGGAAAACTATTGTACGCTGTAGTCCATTTGTGCTGTACATACCTACAGTGGACTGCTGGGTACAGTGGGTGAAAACCAGTAAGTATTTAACCTAGATGATAACTAAGGCAGAATCACTCCTTCTGCAGCGGAATTGTGTGACTCTTGCTGCAGTGATAACTGAAGTGCAAAAGGGAGGTGCATGTTGGTAAATGTAGTAGGTATAGCCTAGAGATTTGTGGCCATTCGTGGTTTCACTTATAATGTGTTTCAAGAGCATGTTTCTCCATCATCCTTTATGGAATTTACCACATGGTTACATCCACTGCATCTGGTGTGAATCTGCCCCCATAGTGCTTAAACGGAACAAAATAGCCTCACTCCATGAACTGGTTTATAATTTTGAAAAATCACTGTATAAAAAAGAGCACACAAGTTCATCACTTTCCAATTTCATTAGGACTGTTTCTTCTAAATAATGGAATACAAGGATATTAGATCATAGTAATGAAATTGAATTTCCAGTGCAGAATAAGTTTATAGCCTTAGAAGCTAAAGCAAGACCATCAGATAAGGAAGCCTTGCAAAGCTTCTAGAAATCACTTGTGCTCAGGATGGAAGTAGAGGATCCACAACTAGAAGAGCAGCCAATAAGAAGGCCTATTTTCCATCAGTGGAGAAAGGTATCCTGAAATGGGTTATGCCCTCTACTCACTCCACAGACAGAGCTACCACCATATTTTATTTATTTTACGAAATGTATACCCTACTTTTCTGCCCTCATAAGGGCCACCAACGCGGCTAACAAATTAAAACTTACATAATAAAATCTCATCCTTAAAGCCAACAAAAGCACATCATTAAAACAAAACTGGAGCTGAAATACCTGCAAAAACAATAAAAACATGGAGCAGGAAGTGAGGGATCATGGTGGAAAGGCCAAATGAAACAAAACAGTTTTCACCAGCTGGAAGGAGATGGCAACAGAAGGGGACAGATGAGTCTTCTTGGGAAGAGAGTTCCATAGTTTTGGTGGCAAAACTGGGAAGCCCTTCTCCCAGGTTGCCACACTTTTGATCTTAGAATGCAGAGGTACTTGAAGCAGGGCCTCAGAAGATTGCCTTAGCAGTTTGGTAGTTTTGGACAGGAATAGGCAGTCCCAAGCCATATAGGAGTTTAAAGGTCAACACCATCACCTTGAATTGGAAACAAATTGGGAGCTGTTATAGATGTGCCAAGACTGGCGTGATATGGTCCCAACAGCCTAGCTGCAGAATTATGTATCAGTTGATGTTTCTGAACACTTTTCAAGGGCAGCCCCACGTGAGAGGGCATTTTGGTAATCTAATCTAGATGATACTAGGGC